AAGATGGACAATAACAGGTGTTGGCCAAGATGTGGAGAAATTGGAAATCTTGTACATTCCTGGTAGGACTGTAGAATCACACAGCCACTTTGGAAAATGATCTGGCAGTTTTTCCAAATGTCAGATGTAGAGTTATCATTTGACTCAGCACTCCCACTCCTAGGTGTATACCCAAGAAAAATGTACCAGTCCATATAAGATCTTGTACATGAATGTTAATAGCAGCATTATTCATAATAGCCAGAAAGTGGAGCTAACTTACATATCCATCATCTAATGAAAAGATAAACAAAATGTGTTATAGCCATAGAATGGAATATTATTTGGCAATAAAATACATGAAGTATTGATACATGCAAACAAAATGAATGAATCTTGAAAACATTATGCTAAGTGAAAAAGCCAGTTATAGGCAAATCTATAGATACAAAAAGTAGGTAGGTTCATGGTTCCTTCGGACTATGGGGAGTGACTGCAAATGAATGAATTCATGGTTTCCTTGGGGTGACAAAATATTTTAAAAATTAGATTGTGGTGATAGTTGTACAGTGCTATGAATATGAACACATTAAAAAGCATTCATTGTATACTTTAAATGGGCAAATTGTGTGGTCTGTGAATTATATCTCAATAAAGCTTTTTAGAAACTTAAAAAAATAAAGCAGTAAAAACGGGAAAATAGAGACATGTTTTCCAGCTCACTAATACCTGTAATTGAAATATGACATGTTGTTTCCTTTAATATTTATCAACCAAAGAGTATTTTCACTAGCTAAAAATACTTTCTTTTCACATTTCTCAGTATAGCAACTTGGTTATGCTCAGGAGCGGAACAGACACGTCGTTCTATTTAAATTTTTAATAACTGCACTATTTTGGCACTACAGATTCTAAAACTAAAGCGATATAAGGAATGTTTAGCATGCTTTTTTGCAAGGATTTGCATGTACTCCAATGCAGTGATCTATATATTAAAAACTTTTATTGAAGGAAATAAGCGAAGACCTGAATAAATGTGTATAGATGCGAAAATGTAATATTGTAAAGATAGGAATTCTCTGCAAAGTTTGCTAAAAATGTAATGAAATCCCAGTAAAAACCATGGCACTTGTAATTTTATAACAACTTAATCTAAAATTCATAACTAAGAATGAAAGTAAAATAATAGCAATCCTCTCCTCCCCCAAAAGCACATTTTATAAAAGTGGAGAACTTGCTCTGTTGGCATGTAAAGAAGGCCATGATAATGAAAATTGTGTGAAGGAGGCCGAGAGAGGCAAGTATGTGAGGGGAACAAGAGTGCCTGGAAACAGACCTGCGCACAAGTGGAAATTTGCCCTGTGTTACAGTGATTGCAGTGTTGTTCAGTATGTCAGCACGCAAAAATTACAGCATGGGCCCTGGACAAGGTAGTTCATTTGGTTAGTGCATTGTCCCGATGCACCAAGGTTGTGAGTTCAAACCCCAGTTAGGGCACATACAAGAATAAACCAGTGAATGCATAAATAAGTGGAACAACAAATGGATGTTTTTTTCTCTCTCAAATCAATAAATAAAAAAATTCCAGAATGAACAAATGTCAAAGATTTATTTATCAAGGAAGTCAACAAGGTGGTAAAACTGGTTCCAAGAATATTTGGGGAAAGAATGTTGGAATAAGATTTATTATATACAAAACTCATTAATCTCATACAAGGCAATAAAACCATATCCTTACCAGAGAAATTATTTGCATATTTATGAGACAAAAAAGATCTACAAGTTAACCTATAATTTTACATAGTATAGGCCTGCCTCTGTTGGTACTATGTAGCAAGTCGAACAAAGGCATATCCTTGGGTGGGCTTGTGAGACAGTGCTCCAAGACAGCATGGAGAGGACATCGGTTTCCCTTTTGCCTGATTCCCAAGCTAAGGAGTAGCGGAAGTCTGAGTTCCTCAGTGCTGTGGGGATGATTGCCTGTCCGTGTGGGAAACAAGTAAGTGTGCAGCTCACACTGTACACAAAAGTGAGCTCCAGGCATACTTGTGTGTTATATTATTTTTTTCATGTATTTTAAACATTTTTCATAAAAATGAAAAAAAAATTCGTTCTTGATGAAATACTAGATAGTAGTTTAAATGAGTGAGTTAGGTCTATATCAAAATACCGTTGAATAAAAAATCAGCTTGCAGCATGTGCAGTTATTGTGGTATTAATATAAATTTTAAAATACTGTAGACTTTCTGGGACTTTGTGTACATGTATGTAAAAGCATAGAGAACTAATAGCATCTAACCTATACTTTTATACCTCAGAAAAAATGAATAAAATCTAATATTACTTTATTAATAATTATTAAGTTCTAGTAAATTCAAGTCTATTGTGCCAGGTAAAGACACTATAATCGTAGCTTTGAAACCTGCAGCATTTACTTGGCCCAACATACTTGATCTTAGCAGAGCTTAATAAAGTTTTAATATTTTATGTGCATGGTATGTCTAATCATTGGAGGGGAAGGTGCAGTCTTTTAAAAATCATCTTGAGAAAATGGCCAAAGATTAAGAAACAAATGCACAGCCCTACCTTGTACTGTATATTCAAATTATAAATGGATCAACGAATTAAATATTAAAAAGTAACAACACTGATAAATTGACAAGTTAAATAATTTTTATGGAGGAAGGTTTTTCAAAATATGCCCTCAAAACCCAGAAAAGTTAAAGGAAAGAGTGATTAGTTTTGATTTAAAATAAAAAAACCCTCAAAATTTTAACATTAGAAAGAATTTTTTATAATTAAAGCTAAAGGCAGATGAGAAATGGGAACATTTTTACAGTACATTTCAGAGACCATGTTTTTCTAGTCCTTATAAGTGAATCTGGAAGAGAACGGATGAGCAAGAATGGTCCAAAAGTGTAGACAGCCTCTTGAATCTGTCTTTAGGGCTTTCCGTTTGTGACCAGAGATGGCAGGCACTGCCTCACAGCCTCCTTTACTTACATGCTTGGTGCCGCCTCTGTTGGGTAGAGAGCTCTTGTGACAGAGCATAACCTGACTTCAAACTGCATCCCCCTTATCAGTAGGGTTTTTGTCCCTCCCACCACCCACACCCATCCCTCTTGTAACAACTGCCTTGATTTTCCTCTGACCTGATGTGTAAAATTTAGGAAACTTGGTCTGCTCAAGATAAGATGAATGTAATGTAAAATATTAGAGGGTACTGGGAAGTTTGAAAGGTGGAATATAATCAGACTCCACTTAATTGAGGACATTATGTATCTTAGAATAAAAAAAAAAAGCTTCCCTAAAGGGACAGTCAATAATGCTTTCTTTATGGAATGTATACTCTTAAGGTGAATGGAAACAGAAGGAGATTGGAGAGTCTGTTATATCACAGGGTGGTCTTATTTTTAAACTCTGTAGAAGTTTCCTTCTCTTGAGTGGCTCTGGGTCAATAAAGTGACTTTAAGATTCTGTGAACCAGATTGGTGTCCAGCTCCTCTATGTCACTTCAGCACTCTGGTATATACAGGGTGGGGCAAAAGTAGGTTTACAGTTGTGAGTGGGAGAAACAGAGTTAGTAAGGCCATTGTAAAAATTAAAACATGTGTGTCTTTTTCCATATGAACAACTGTAAACCTGCTTTTGCCCCACTCTGTATATAGTGGAAATGAAGCAGTTTATTACAAATAACACACCTTTAAAAATACACGCCTTTTGCCCTGACTGATGTGGTTCAGGAAGTGGGGTGTCCTTCCACAAAATAAAAGGTCCTGGTTAGAGGTTTGATTCCCAGTCAGGGCACATGCCCTGGTTGCAGGCCAGGCCCTCCGTTGGGGTAACAGGCAACCAAACAATGTTTCTCTCACACATCCATGTTTCTTTCTCACCATTCCCCCCTCTCTAAAAATAAATAAATAAATAAATGAATAAATAAAATCTTAAAACAAAAACAAAATACATGCCCTTTAATTCAATAATTTATTCTCTGGAAATAACAAGGCAAAAGTGCATAAAGGGGTTTGTCACAGTATTATTTGTAGTCACAAAACACTGGGAGCAACCTCCCTGCTCCAAAATGAGTATCTGGTAACAAATCATATTATATTACTTCCATTCAGTAGAATGTTGTGCAGACAGTAACTACAATAAAACAACTCTACTAATTGAGAAGAAAAGATTCAGGATAAATTCAGGTTATCATGAAGGAAACCAGAATATGTCATCCCAAAATATGCCTCTTTGACATAAAAATTATTTTGAGCTGAAGGCAATTGAGAAGTAGTAAATGGCAGAAAAGCTCTCCCTTTTCTGCATGAAGGCAGGATATAAATTCTCATACTGGAAACACACACCGATTAGCCCATAGAATCTGCAAACAAACCTTATTAAAGTAATCCTTGTCTTCCTACCTATTTCACTGTTTACTGCCCCGTGCCCAACTCCTTGTCTTGCCAGTTATTCACCAGTTTATTTATACCTTTCTCTAAAACGTATAAAAGTTTCCTGCTCTGTTCACTTCTTTGGGTCTTTACTCTTGTGAAGGCTCCCATGTACATGTTAAAATTCAACAAAATTTATATGCTTTCCTCTTGTTAATTTGTGTTTGTCACTTTACTTTTCAGACCCAGCCAGGGACCCTAAGAGGGTCAAGGGAAACTATTTTCTCTTCTATAATATTTCATTTTAATAAAATATAAAAACATGTATAGATTTACTTGGGAATGATCTGGAAGGATATATACAAGATACAATGCTGTCTTTCAATGGAGAGCCATGGGGATTGATTTCAGTTAATTTCTTTTTTTGTTTATAAGTTTATTGGTGCTGTATGTCTGGAATGCTCACCATGTAACCAAATAGATTTTTGTTACTTGGTTTTCCAAATTGCTAAGAAATGGAGGTGAGAGGTACCAAATAATTGAGGGCTTGTGTTGTGTGTTTAAATTTATGTGGACTTTTCCTGTATGACAAAGAAATGAAAACCTCACTCTGCCTTTTTTTTTTTTTATCAACAGGCCTTTTCGAGCAGATATGGCAACAAGCAGCCGGCACCTGGCCTCACTTGATACAAAGCAGGACTCTGAGCAGTGCAGACCATCCAGTGTGAGCAGGTCAGAAAGCGCGCAGGGACCTTCCTGGGGGCCTAGTTTAACCCCTCGGAGACCTCTAATGGTGACGTTAGGACAGGGCTCTGTGTTGCATTGACTGGAGGGAAGGGAAGAGGCCCAGGCAGGTAGACTGCCCAATTTACGTGCCAGGGAAGACTAAGGGACTCAGTGAATAGGTGTCCTGTTACATGAAAGCAGAAAGAAAACTAAATTCAACTTTAAGGGCACAGTTCCTTTTGTTTTTATCTTAAAATCTTTTAACATTTAATTTTTAAATAAAATAATATAACCACATTGCCAAGCATCAGGGTAAATGGAGGAAAGGAGAAAGAAACTAATTATGGCCACTTTAACACAGACTGTTAGAATTTTGGTGTATCTCATTCCAGTCTTTTTCCTTCGCATGTGTTTCTTGAGATGGATATAACTGCAGAGTTTTTGGTCAACATTGTATCATGATTATTATTTTTATATGCTTCTTATAAGCTTAGCTTAAACATTCATTTAAAAATTTTTCATTGTAGAAAATTCAGGAAATATAGAAAAATCACAGAATAAAATATGTATTACTATCACCATAACTATCATAACAATTTTTTAGGTGTATATTCTCTTTTCCCCTTAAATATATAGATATTATTTTTTTTTGCTTAATTTGGATCATATTAAATATACTATTTAGTAACCTGTTTTTTAAAACTTAGTAAATCATGAAAATTTTTTCTTTCCATTAGCTAGTTTTTATAATATCACACTTAATTGCTAAGTACTGTTCCTTTCTTGCCTACTCTGGAATTAAATTAACCAGGTGTTTCTTTTTAAACATGTAGGTTATTCCTTTATTAGTTATTAAGGCAACTCTGTTAAAGCTGTTTTTTAGTACCATGAGAAAATGCTTTTCATCTATCCTTCAGGTTTATTAAGCTTTAAAGTATACAGCAGATCTATATCATTTTTGATTTTGCACTTAAAATTTTAGCTATGTATGAGTATGTTCATAATATTCATGGACTTGGCAGTTCATGACATAAAGGAGTGCAGTAATATGAGGAGTGAGGAGTGGAGAAGAACTTGAATATAACTTCTAAGTATCTTAAAGCGTTTATTTTTCACATTACTATTTTATACCATGTGTCCCTGTGCATGGAAAGCTGAGCTTTCTTCAGAAATATGTGTCCCTCTTTCAGAGTTACCCTTGAACTTACCTGACAGTTTCCTAGGTAACTACTACATGAGCATTTGGAATGTGAAGTTTGAAAGCTGTAATAAAATAGGTAAAAAAATATTGAAAGCAGTAATAAATAAAGAGAGCTGTGAGCTGGCTAGACTGGAAATCTTCAGCATATATGTAGTTTTTGAATCATGGACCACAAATACTATTTCCAAGAGAGAGCGAAACAAATGAGAGTGAAGGAAGGAACCTTTGGGAACAGTCGTGGAAAGGATAGCCAAGAGAGTGAGAGTTCCAGCAAGTGCTGCTGAGACGTGTGTGAGAGAAGAACGGCATGGTGGTTGCAGGGTGAGCAAGGGTTTGGGGGAGGGGGTGAATTCTAGAATTTGGTCAGTAGAGCCAGGTATTGCAGAGGCCTGTGTGCATATACGTTGAAAAGTACCCTTTGCAGTTGCAGTTAGGTAGATATCAAAGACCTTTAGTTCAGAGGGTTTCAAGCAAGTTGGGGCAGGAGCCAGGCTGTGGTGGAGTGGCTGAAGAGGAATGGGAGGTGGGGAAGTAGGAGAGTGAGTATCAACTCCTTTTTAAAGCTCTTGCCTATGAAGAAAAGAGGCAGGAGAAGTTGTGTGATAAAAGAGAAAACAACAGTGAAGGACCATTACCTTTTTTTACTGGTTTAACATTAAATAGAAATAAGTAAGATTTATGTGTGTTTCTGAGTTGAAAAGGGGTTAGAGAAGAAGAGGTTAAAGATACACAAAGGGAGGTTTGGTCAGAGTGGCAGCGTAGGTAAACGCTATGCTTGCATTATCCCTCATAAGAATTGCAGCTAAATTATAGAACCACCACCCTGAAGGACCATCTGAAGACTAATGAACACAACTCATATACCATATTGTGCTGTGTATAATGTGCACCCACGTTTTTTGCCCAAACTTTAAGTAAAAAAATCTTTTGTTTTCTTTTTTATTTCATTTATTTATTTATATTTAGATGCTTGTTTTTTGTATTATAAAGGAATTTTAGCATTTATTTTTGAGCATATTGTACAAGAAATTTTATGTAACAAATGATTACAAAACAAAAGAACAGGTACAAGGTACAAGAAATTTTATATACTGGTAACAAATTCATGATATTTACGCATCATAGAAGGTCAAGAACTCTTTGTCACTGTCAATATCAGAATTGGTGTCTTCTTTAATTTCTACATTTCCAGTGTCTTCTGAAGAGTCACTTTCTTCCTCCCGGTAAATTTCGTCTTCAGTTCTATCCATAGCATTACTAATGCTGCATTTTTTTAGATGATTTCACAACCACTTCCTCCTGACACTGTTCTACTATCTTAGGGTCCAACCACAAACCTGGGTGATGGGTGCTTTCTTGATTCTGCCTGTAGGTCTTGAATCATTACCAGCTGACCGCATCCACGACATCCACTCTTTCTTCATTAGGGCCTTAAAGGGCTTGTTTACTGACACACCAAGAGGTCGCAGTTGGCTGGTTGGCCCACCAGGTGTCACAGCAGGTTGGGTTTTCAAGTCTATGGCAGTTTTGCACTTCATTTTGCCCATGAAGCATGGGCTTGGAAGTGATCAGAAACAAGCAAAGATGGTTTTTTAAGTAACCCTCCAGGCCTTCATGACCAGACTTTGTAAAGCAGATTTTCATGCCTTCTGTATCCATCCTTTTTTGTGCACATGGACAGTAACTCCACCTGTAATCTTTTCTTTCGGAAACACTTTTCTTTTAAAGATGATCTTAGGTGATTGCTTTGTCCCACCTGCCCAAGAGGCTTGAACTGTGTTTTCTCATGACCACTAGTTTTAACAGCCACAGTCCTTTCTCCTTTGACATCCACAGTTCTGTTGGATGGCACATCAAATGTGAGTGGGACCTCATCTGTATTGGCGATTTGGGAAAGCTCAAGGTTGTAAGTCTTTTGAAGATTGATAACGTAAGAATGAAATTCCAAAACTTGATTCTCATAGGCTGCTGGAAGTTTTTGGGCAAGCTTCATTCATGTCCTCATGCTCAAACCTTCTCTCTTCAGAAAGTTAGGTGTCCCTGAGAAATCATCGATGTTTTTTTCTTCTGCAATCCTTTTACCTTTTTCTTGTATCATCTTGGTCAAAGAAGAGATCCCAGTCTGACACTGTTCCAGAATCCAGGTCGTCACCTCTTCCACCTTCAGCCACTTTGGAGGTGTCCCTTGTGTTTTCTTCTGCTTGGCATCTGAAGAAGCTTTTCTTCCTGTTGCCTCTACAACCTGCTGACACTCTCTGTGGGAGGAGGTCCAAAGGGTCTCTTGGCAGCTCTGTTGCCATGCTTCTTAGCATATTTAATAACTTTTAGCTTAAAGCTTGCAGTGTATGAAGACCATTTTGACATTTTCCAAGGGATTTTCTGATAATTTCTCCCACCTAAAGTGTACAAAGAGAAATGTCACACTATTCACCCCGTGGTAATAAAGTCAGCATCACCTATCTTAGCAAGTGCATAGCAATCAGCATCACCTATCTTATCAATGGATAACAATCAGCATCATTTGTATTACTCTGTGGGTAACAATATATTATTGCTCTTGTTTCCATTTCATTGAATCGTTGGCTGAAACTGCTTTCCTTGCAAGTTTGCTGTAAGTTCAACAAAACCGGTTTTCGTATTCCAGGGTATTATTTTGTATATGGAAATTGTTATTGCTTTCCAGAGTTATACTTTTAATGCAGAAGCATAAATAAAAGAATTAAAAACATTTATATAGATATGGAATTGGCACTACCCATGTATAATGCACATTCTTATTTTTCCCTCAAATATTTGGGGAAAATGTGTGCATTATACACAGTAAAATGCAGTAATTCAGGATATAAAGGAGAAGCCATGTTGAGACTGGTAGGAGATGTGGATGCAAAAACAGGCCGCTTCTAACCCAAGATGTGGTGGTTAAGAATCAGCAGGGATATCTTGTCAGTGGAGGTTCCCACTGAAGAGTGAGGGGTTTCAGACCCACATTGGGCTCCCCAGCCTGGACCACCAGTGCTGAGGAGTCCCCACAACATCTTGCTGTGAAAATTACCAGGGATCCTGTCCATCCTATTAAAAGGAAAGGTTGCTGGGGTCCCAGGCATTCCACTTAAAGGGCCTGTGCATGGACTTACTTGCTGATGGACTCACTCGCTCTAGCTTTAGCACTAGGGCAGCAGCTTGGAAAGCATCAAGGACTGAAAAGACAGCTTTCTCCCAGACAGAAGTGTTGGAAAATAGCTAAAGCAATCTTGAGAAAGAAGAACATATTTGGAGTTATCATGCTACCTGATATCAAGCTATACTACAAGGCTCAAGTAATCAAACCAGCATGGTATTTGCATAAAAACAGATATATAAATCAAGGGAACAAAATGGAGAATCCAGAAATAAATCCATGCCTATATGGTCGATGAATCTATGACAAAGGAAGGAAGAATATACAGTGGGGTAGAGATAGTTTCTTCAATAAATGCTGTTGGGAAAACCAGACAGGTTCATGAAAAAAAAATGAAGTGACTACTTCTTACACCATATACAAGAATAAACTAAAATGGATAAAATACTTAAATGTAAGTCCGGAAAACCACAATATTCTTACAAGAAAACAGGCAGTAATTTCTGACATTGCTTTTAGTAATATTTTTGGGGGGTACGTCTCCTATGGCAAGGGAAACAGAAGGGAAAATAAACAAATGAGACTACATCAAACTAAAAAGTTTTTCTTTTGGTATATTTTATTGACTATGCTATTACAGATTTTTCCCTTCTTTGCCTCCCTCTGCCTGGTACACCGCCTTCCCTCCAGCAATCCCCCTGCTTAGTTAATGTCTATGGGCCGTGCATATACGTTCTTTGGCTTCTCCATTTCCTATGCTATTCTTAACATGTTGCTGTCTGTTTTGTACCTGCCAGTTATGCTTCTTAATCCCTGAATCTTCCTCTGCCTCCCCCACCTCCCCACATTCCTCCTTCCCTCTCTCAACTGATAACCCTCCAAATGATCTCCATATCTATGATTCTGCTTCTGTTCTGGTTGTTTGCTTAGTTTGTTTTTGTTTTTTAGATTTACTTGTGGATAGTTGTCATTTGTTGTCCTTTTTAATTTTCATAGTTTTGATCTTCTTTTTCTTAAATAAGTCCCTTTAACATTTCATGTAATAATGGCTTGGTGATGAATTCCTTCAGCTTTATCTTGTCTGGGAAGCATTTTATCTGCCCTTCCATTGTAAATGATAGCTTTGCTGGACAGAGTAATCTAGGTTGTAGGTCCTTGTTTTTCATGACTTTGAATACTTCTTGCCAGTCCCTTCTTGCCTGCAAGGTCTCTTTTGAGAAGTCAGCTGACAGTCGTATGGGAAGTCCTTTGTAGGTAACTCTCTACTTTTCTCTTGCTGCTTTTAACATTCTCTCTTTATCTTTAACCTTTGGCATTTTCATTATGTTTGCTTGGTGTAGTCCTCCTTGGGTTCAACTTGTTTGGACTCTCTGCTTTCTGGACTTAAATGTCTATTTCCTTCACCAAACTAGGGAAGTTTTCTTTCATTATTTTTTCAAAGAAATTTTCAGTTTTTTACTTTTTCTCTTCTCCTTCTGACATCCCCATGATTCAGATGTTGGTACATTTTAAGTTATCCCAGAGGTTCCTAAGCCTCTCCTCATTTTTTCAATTCTTGTTTCTTCTTTCTTTTCTGATTGAATGTTAATTTTGTTAATTTCTTCCTTTTGTTCCAAATCATTGCTTTGAATTCTGGCTTCCTTCACTTCCCTGTTGGTTCCCTGTTTATCTTCCTTTATTTCTCTTGGTGTAGCCTTCACTTCTTCCTTTATTTTGTGGTTGTACTCTATGAGTTCTTTGAGTGTCCTGATCACTAATGTTTTGAACTCTGCATCTGATAGGTTGGCTATTTCTGTTTTGTTTAGTGCTTTTTCTGGGGTTTTGTTCTGTTCTTTCATTTGGGCCATATTTCTTTGTCTCCTCAATTTTGGTGGCCTCTCTGTGTTCGTTTCTATGTATTACGTAGAGCTGCTTTTACTCCCTGTCTTAGCATAATCTATGTAGAAAAGGTACCTGTAAATTGTGTGGGGCACAGCCTCACACAATAAGGGCACAGCCTTAGGTAATTGTCAGGGTGGGGTAATCCACTTCACTGCTTTGTGGTTCTTTGTGGGTCGTAGGATGGGGGTGGGGCTGGGGTGGGGTGGGGCTCAGAGAGGGGATAATGCCACTGCCTGGCTTCTGGAGGCCTGCCTGGCACTTGCCTGTTTCTGGTCACCTCACCCACCTCCTGTACATGATTGGTGCCCTTCCAGCTGCTGCTGTGGGGTTTGTGAATGTTCTGAGCCCAAGAGGGCCCTTTAAAAGACAAAAATGAAGCAGTTTCTTCCACTGCCCCAACACCCACCAGACTTTACAGCTGGAGGTAATGGGAGTTTATATTCTGGTGCTGGAACCCTGGGCTGTATGGTCTGGCCTGGGGCTGGGATTGCTTGCTCCCAAGATACCACTCCTGATTTTTATCCACCACATGTGAATGTTGGACTGTGAGTTCCACTGCTGCTGCTGTCTCCCCGCACCATACCTCCTTTACACCCTGTCTCTGTGACTATGTTCCTCCTACCCGTTTGGATGAATGTGGCTTCTTTAAATCCTTGGCTGTCAGATTTCCATCCACCTCAATTTTCTGACAGTATTGGGTTTTATTTGTTTTTGAGATCTGGTTGTAATTCTTTCTATGGTTGTGAGAAGGAGGTGAAGCATGTCTCCCTATGCCTCTATCTTGACAGGAAGTCAAACTAAAAAGTTTTTGCACAACAAAGGAAACCATCAACAAATGGAAAAGACAACCTACTAAATGGGAGAAGATACTCACCAATGATACATCCAATAGGATTAATATCCAAAATAAATAAGGAACTTATACACTTAACAGCAAACAGACAAACAATCCAATTTAAAAATAGGCAGAGGGCTTGAATAGACACTTTTCCAAAGAGGACATAACAGATAGCTGATAGACATATGAAAAGATGATCAATGTCCTAATCATCAGAGAAATACAAATGAAAACCATAATGAGATGTTACATCACACCTGACAGACTGACTATCATCAGTGAATCAACAAAAATGTGTTAGTGAGGATGTGGAGGAAAGGGAACCCTTTTGCACTGTTGGTTGGAATGCAGATTGGTGCAGCTACTGGGGAAAACAGTATAAAATTCATCAAGAAATTAAAAATAGAACTACCATATGACCCAGCAACCCCACTTATGGGTATTTATCAAATGAAATCCAAAGCACTAATTCTAAAAGATATATGCTTCCTGTGTTCACTGCAGCATTATTTATAATAGCCCAGATAGGGAAGCAATCCATCAAAAATGATTGGATAAAGAAGTGGGCATATATGCAATGGAATATTACTTGGCCATAAAAGAAATCTTACCATTTATGACAACATGGATGGGCCTAGAGGATATTACACTAAGTGAAATAAGTCACGCAGAGAAAGACAAATACTATATGATTTTGCTTATATGTGAAATATAAAAACCAAAATTAACAAACAAAATAGAAACAGACTCAAGTACAGAGAACACACTATAGTTGCCAGAGGGGAGGAGAGTTGGGGGATGGATGAATAAGGTGAAGGGATTAAGAGGTGCAAACTGGCAGTTACAAAATAGTCATGAGGATATAAAATACAGCCTAGGGAATGTAGTCAATAATAATGAAATAAGTATGTATGGTATCAGGTGGATACTAGACTAGGGGATCACTTCATACATTATATAAATGTCTAACCACCATTGTGCTTGTATACGTGAATGCCATAGATAATATTGAATGGCAACTTTAATTGAAAAATAAACAAACAGATATATAAATGAATAAATGGAGGGAAATGTAAGAAATTATTTAGAGGCATAGTCAAGTATATAGTATTAGCAATTGCAGATTTCATAGCCTTTTTCCTTTAAAATATTAAATAATAAAATTCCTACTCTACCGTTTAATCAACAGGTCTTCTAGTGCTTTTGTAGAAACAAGCAATTGTGAAGGTATGCTGGAACATCCTAAAAGGACATCTGTAAAGTGGAACAAATCTTCAGATTTGGACAAGTATGTGGGTAGTTAGACGGCACACAACAAAACAGCATCCTGCCTTATGTATCACTCCTCCAGTGACTCCTCACTCCACAGATAGCCTGTGTCCTTACTCCTCAGCACGAAGTTGTGAGGCAGTCGAAAGGTTGTTTTGTTCACTATTTAACAAAGAAGAAATACTGGATATCAAATGACACACCCAAGGTGCATAGCCAGGCAGTAGCTGAATTACAGCTTAGTGTTCTGTCTTCTAATTTCCAGGCCAGTACACCTTCCATGAACCCCTTTGCCTCCCTGGTTTTAATCCCTCTGATTTATTGAATGTTAACAGTGTTTTGACAAGCACAGTTTTCTTTTGTTTTTCAACTTGAAAGAGCCAGGAGGGAATTTTCCTATAGAAGGATCCCGATGCCTTGCAACAATGATATTCTTTGAGTTTGAGTTTATTACTAGTGTTTTTACAGGGCAGCACAGCACAAACTGCAGCCATTTGTAGGTTTTGTGCTTATCACTTCAAATCTGTTGACACATTAGTTGATGGAGCAGCAGTGTTAAGGTCACTTTTAGAAAAATGAGGAAAGAGTTTCCACTTTGGCTCAGAGCTTTCCCCTCACTCCCTCCTTGTAACACATCTCTTTATTATTTGAGAGATATGTCTTCAAATATGATTTTTTTCCATGGGAAATGTTATAATGGCACAGTTACCCACTTTAAAAATCTCTGGGATACTGTGTATTTTGTCTTCTTGATCTACTTGAGAAAGTCATTAAAAGCAGGAAGCAGAACAGAGGTCTGGGATCTCAGGATTAATGGAATGGAGAGCAGACCTTTTCTAGACTTTTTAATCCTTCACTTACCAAGCCTGGATTGACAGTTCAGCATGGCACTGACCATTGGTAGCTTTAGTTACCAATGAAGGTTGGGGAAATCCCAGAGTTATGCAAGGAGTTCTGGTCTCTCAGGAGGCTGAGTTCCAGAGACTGTTTAGTGAGATAAGGTTTTCAAATGGCTGAATCATTAAGGCTATGACCAAATTTTGACTAGGAGCTTGTGAGAGAAGAGGGGACTCTTTCTCTTTGCTTGGTTATTAAAGAATGAAGGATAGAGGGAGTTATTGTTTAATGGGTATAGGGCTTCAGTTAGCAAGATGAAAGAGTTCTAGAGATTGGTTGCACAACAGTGTAAATATAATTAATGCTGTTGAACTACACACTTAAAATGGTTAAGCTGGTAAATTTTATGTTATGTGTATCCTACCACAATTAAAGAAAAATAGAAAAAAGAATGTCCAAATGTTATTATAGAGTTCAACCTAGCTTTCTTTGACCTTCTTTGCCTTAGAAGGGTGCTGGATATATTTTCCATGCAGTTAAGACAGCTATACCATCCCTTCTTGGAAAGATCCCTCCTAGTTAAAGAAGGAAGACAGTGGACTGAGCTCAGAGGAGCTGAGGTTAGAGTGGTAGTCACCACTCTTTGCCAAATGGAAGTCATTTCAAAATAAGTTAATTTTATTAGAGACTTATTGGGCAATGCTAAATTATTACCATATCAATGGGATATTAAAGAGCAGTTCATTGTAATGGTTCAATATAATTTACTAACAAATCAGGATAGGTGGGAAAGGCATTAAAACATGGGTAATTTAAATGAATTTGATGTATCACATTCTGGTTTTGTAGACCAAGTGTTGCTTATGAACGACTGATAAAAACTCCACCCTTTCTGTTAACAGATTACTAAAACAGACACGACGGGAGGCACTGAGGCACCAGGGAGGTGCCTCTGAGTCGGAGCTCTGCTTCCTGTCTGGGTCTGAAGGACGAGATAATTCACAGGAGGAGAGATTAGTCACTTTTGTTCTTTTCAAAAATTTACCTCATTCATTTCTTTCATTATTAGAAGCATTTTTACCTTGTGCTATCTTTTGTGCTCCTCATAACAGCAATGTTAATACTTGTTGAGTAGGTATTGTCATGTCCTCATATTCTTTTTACAGTTGAGGAACAGACTTAGAGAGGTCAAGTGGCTTGTCTACAGGTCTCACCATCTAAGACATCCCACAAAACATTGTGAACTTATTGGGTTCTTCCTCTCCTTGGGTCATTAATGAGAAGTTGTACCAGGAGTCTCCGTGGCCCAGTTGTCCAGCTATTGCTACTTCTGAGCCTCTGAACTCCACACAGCTGAATTGACTGACCCGTGGCACATTGGCCTGGGGCTCTTGAGGATGGGGAGATCTGTAGTTTTCACTATAGGTAGGATATTGGATTTGCTTGGAAAAGAACTCTGGATACTCCCACATATGTCAGTAAAGGTGTCTGAAGAGTAATCCTGCTACCATTCTGTGCCTACAAATCCTGTGTTTAGTTCTTGCTTTGAAAGAACTCGTTTTGGTCTAAATCTGGAGACAGTTGAGATATTAGTGAAGGGGTCAGATCTGTAGAGATCAAACTCTCAGCCTTATTCTTTTTTAAAGACTATCTTGGAGGATGTAACTTAGATGCATGGAGAAATGGTCTTTGACACACCCCTGAATGAAATTTAGGCCCTATATTGCAGACTTCCCTTGTGAGGGTAGTGATAGTGATGGTGATGGTGATGGGGTAGAACCTGCCCTACTGAGCTCATTCTGTTATGGAGAGCACAGGCCATGGTGAGCCCTCTTTCCCTATGGAAAGGGGCTGGGCCACTCATGCCCAGTTTTTCCTTCCAGTAAACCAGTCAGATAACTCCTCTCTGGGGAAGGAATAGTCCAGGAGTGTTAATCCACTAAATTTCCCTCAGGTGAATCTGAGAAGTGGGAAGAAAAGTTCTTCCCTCATAGTTGTTACCCTCTAACTCATGTGCAAATTTCTTAGGTAGCTACTGTAACATTTTCAACTTAACATCAATGTTTACAATGCTCACCTATTCTTAGTTGAAAAACTGATTACTATTGAGCCTTTGTTACATGGAGGTGGATTTAAAATAAGTTCATATTAGAGATGTTTTTATATAGTTCTGAGATGTTAATAACTGTTCATTTGGGTGTGAAGTTATTTTAAATAATTGATTTTATCAAGTAAAGGAAGCTACTGAAAATGTAAGGAATAATTTAGAGGAACTCAGAAGTATTACTTCATTATATATTGGTTTTGTAGAGTTCTGTTCATTTTAATACAAATCATAAAAATTCCCTCTTTTAATCAATAGGGCTTGTGATCACATATGGTAAAAGTAGGTTATCAGATTATGAGCAAAGTGCAGAGAAACTGCCAGGTCAGAAAATATGAGTGTGTATTTTGTTCTTGTCAGGAGAGGCTGGGCACTTTGACACTCCTGGAGAATTATACTAACGCCTCAATATAGATAGTGCTTACAGTTTATTTCCATGCACTCACCTGGTTTTTATAACTACCTTGTAAAGTAGTAACAGCAGCTGACTATCCTGTCTTACAGATAAGGAGACAAACTTTGAGAGGCGATGTGGTTGTTCAAGGTTACAGAGCTGGGAAATGCTGCAGATAGGACTCTCCTCTTTCTTTAAAAAATTACTTTTCTTTAAAAAATTTTCTTTAGAAAATTATTTTTGTGTGTAATATTTTCTTTTAAAAAATTACTTTTGTGTGTAATATTTAAATAAATCAGTTTTTTTGTCATAAAAGTAATATGAAAAGATTTTAAATAATTGGGAAAGAAGAGGAAAAAAGTCACCAATTACCTCTCTACCCAACATAAATCAGTATAAACTGTGGGTTCTCAGAGGGTAACAACAAAATCTATGGGTCAATAATTGAAAGGTATTGGGAGTTTGAAGTCTGTTTACTGAGAATCCCAGTTTGAGGGGAATCCGTATGGATAGAAAATCTTTGATTGTGGCTCTTGGGCAAAGGGGCTACTGGGCTCCTGAATACAGCAGAAACTTTCTCTGGATGTACTTAGCAAAGACTCTAAAATTCCATTTCCATCGGATCCCTTGACTCGTAACAGCCTGCCTTTTCCCTCACCACACACATATCCTCAAATTGTCGTGAATAGTAAACTCCTGACATGTTGACTATTTCTTAAGGAATATAACCTTTGTTTCTCCTGTATACATTGTGAAACGGGAGGGCATTTCAAGGAGGAGGCAGTGGGGTCAGGAAGGTTAAGTGACTTTCTGAAGATCATGTAGCTGGAGAAAGGCAATGCTGACTTCCCATTTCCAGTCCTGGAACTGCCATCCTATCACGTCAGGCTTGAGGAGGATGCCATGTTGATGAGCCTCTTGCAAGATATGTGGCTGTTTTTAAATGGCCATACCCTTCACTCCAATCTGATTGGACAGGTGTGGCGGGACTGGGCAGATGTGTTTGAACTTCCGCTGCTAGATGCGTGCAGCCATTTTAGGCTCTTAACCTCAGGAGGCAGTATTGTTGTAGGAAGAGTAGTGTGCGAGTGGTGCCCAGCATGGATTAGAGCAAAACTAGTGTTATCTGGGAACTTGTTGGGCCCATCCCAGGCCTATTGAGGCCAAAACTCTGGTGGTGGGGCCCAGCAGTGTGTCTTATAACAGGCCCTCAAGGTAAGTCCAATACACTCTGAAGCTTGAGAACCACTGAATCAAAGCCGGAACAGTCAAGAAAGCATTCCTGGAGACTGTTTCAGAACTCAGAGTTGAAGTGATGAGAGTCTCAGTTAATGTGATAGCAATGGAAGTGGAGAGAGCTGACTCCAAGGGATGTTTGAGAAGTTCTGGCTGAGATTCAGCTTGCTGTCTTAGTCATTCCTTGCCAAACACATGGTAGTGCCGGTATAGTGTGGGTGTACGTGTGTGTGGGGTCTTAATTTCATGTGAACATCTTAGTAAACCACTTAGAAGGGTGGAGTTTACAGGATTTAGAGGTGCTGAGCTCCCACTTTTGTTTATCCCTGTAAGCTGGGGCATTTACATGCATCTTGCCAGGTGACAGTGTGGCCAACTGAGATGCAGGGGTGATCATTTGTTTGTTCCGCAAGGGGACTGGTATCTGCTCGCAGCCCATTTCCCTGTAGTAAAAGATGAGCTGTAACCTGAGACCTGGTGGGAGTGAACATTAAGAGAATGGGTAGAAGGGGTGATTAGAAAGAGTGGGGATTTCTGAGCTAAAAATTTTCTTTTGTCCTTAGAAAAAAACCCATTCTCTCTGCCATTTTGGTTCCTGCTTTCTGCCTGCCCACTCTTCTCATTTTTTCCTGCTCTCTGCCTTGCTCACCACATTCCCACCTTAGAATCTCCCTCCTCCCCTCAACCTGGATATTCCCAGGGCTGGATCCATATCACAGCCCTCAGAGGTCTCCCTTGCAGGGCTTTCCATGACCGTGCTCATAAATGTTGAGCCTCATGCCACCCACCTTTTCAAAACAGATTCTCTCCCAGACTAGTTAACCCAACTTGAGATGATCTTCGTCAGCTGCCAGTCTTCTTGTATAAGTTTGCTCTTCTGCCCCTGGAGAATGAAGGCCACTTCGGAGCCCTGGATCCTGTGTGTCTTGTTTGTTGTTGTATCCCCAGCCCCTGGAAAGGCACCTGGCACATAGTTAGAGTTCTGTAAATGTTAGCTAAATGAATTCTAAGTAAAGATTTGATTAGAGTAAAGGGTAGGGGTAGGAAATGGGGGAAAATGTAACTGTAAACTCCAGACAGCAAGTGATGGCTAAGTTGGACTAGGTCGTGGAGGCAAAACAAGATAAATCCGAGAGATATTTAGGAAGTAACACTGACCAAATTAGGTGATGGACCAAAAGGAGGTATCAAGCAACTTTCTTGTGAAAATCTTCCTGAGAGAGGTTTGTGAACTCCTAGCCTTCTTATTTAGCCTCTTTAGTCACTGGAAACTTAAGGGCAAAGCAGTTGTGGATTATTCAGGGTTCTCCAGAGAATCAGGACCAATAGGTTATATAGATGAGGAGATTTATCTTGGGACTTGGCTCATGTGATCATGGAGGCCTAGAAGTTCCACGAGCTGTTGTCCCCAATCTGCAGAACCAGGAAAGCCCATGGGTGCAGTTCAGTTCAGTCCAAAGACTGGAGAACCAGGAGCACGAGAGAACACACAGAGGACCTCATGGACTGGAAGATGCCCACGCACATTTGGGAGGGACGTCTGCTTTACCCAGTTCACCAATTCAACAGCTAATCTCTTCTGGAAACACTCTCATAGACACGTCCAGAAATAGTGTGTGATCAGCTGTCTGGACATCTGTTAGCCCAGTCAAATTGACATGTAAAATGAACCATCACACGTTTTCAGCTCTTCAGCTACCTCTCCACCAAGATTGTCTCATTTCTGCACCTCCCTAGAGGGGAGGTACCTTCAAGCTCTAGGCATGAGGGACTCTCTGTTTCTGCCCAGGTCAGTTTTACCTAACCACCCACTCAGACATCCCCCTGCTCAACAATCTTTATTGAGTATTTACTGTGTTCTAGATACCACTAAAGGCGCTGGTGACACAGCAGTGACTAAAACAACCTCCTTGCATTTATATCCTAGAGAGAGAAGGTAGACAAAGATAAATGTGTCCACAAATACTTCGAGGGATACTTTGGATGGTAATAAGTGGTATGGAGTGAAAAACAGTGAGAGAGGTTGGGGTGAGGTCCATGAGGCAGTTCTGAGTTGGTGCTTTTGAGCTAAGATCTGAATAACAGGAAGGTGCCGGCCATTAGGAGTTTTGGGGCAGAGGGTTATTCCCTGTAGAACCTTCAAAATCTGTTTCTATTAGATGAGTACCTAGTGAGATTTTGTTTTCATGCTTGAAAGAATGAATTTGGAGAGATTGGAGGCATGGAAATTAAACTTGATGTACTTTTAAATAAATCATATTGCTCATTTAGCTATTGAAATATTTTTTGAAATATTTTCCTATTAAAATTATTACAAAAACTTTTTAGAGATGGCTGTAGTTTTAAAGAGCAACATTTCTATTCATCAAATAATTAACAATTTTCAAAGGGTAAAATCATGACTCTCACAGAGGTGTACAAATGGACACATTTTAAAGACTTAACTCATTCATTAATCAATGAGGGAACTAGGCAGATCTTATAACAGATTCAAAGGAGAAATGAAAACAACACAAATTTATATGGAATAAAGGACGGTTGAAATGAATGTGCAAATTCATGGACAGCTAGCTTGTTCTACCCTGGAGAGAAGTCCCTTGAACCTTTCCTGGCCAGGACTTAATTGACATGCCTGCACACAACAATTATTCTGCGTTGCTCTCATTTACTTACAATTCATAGAGTTGTAAGGTAGCTCCAATAAAATCAAAAGCAGCTAACCTGAAGGAGTCTTCTCTAGACAATTCAGTTTTCCACTAAAGCACGTTTTGCCCCATATATATAATTGAACTAAAACAAAATAACTCCTGCTCCCCCATGAGTAAGGGTAGTTCCTATGTTTGTGGTCTTCAGAGTGATAGAGGGGTGGAGGAGGGGGTGACTGTCATTTATTCACTGTCCGCTGTGAGCATTACGTGTCATCTGTTCCACCCTCACAATTGTCCCATGAAGTAGGTGGGGGTGCTTCCATTTTACAGAAAAGGAGGTCAGCTCTCGGAGGTTCCGGACACTGCTAATAAAGTGGCAGAGTTAGCAATACAGCCCATCTGTGTCTCCAAAGTATGTGCACACACACGCACTCCCTGTGACAACTTGCTAATAGTAAAAGCTGTGTAAATTCTATAGATTATTTTCTTGATCTTTAGGTCAGCATCAACCAAGCTGGATCTCAAGAGTAGCCTGGAAGAATGTGAAGTGGCATTGAAATTATTTCTAAGCAACAGATTTAAAGATGCCTTAGAATTGCTGCAACCATGGTAATTAACTTTATTTCTTTTAGGTAAAATATGTTTTTTTAAATGTGTTTGATGACTCTGTCTTTTATGTCATTCTTGTCAGTTAATTTATCTGTATTTTCACATGAATATTTGGTTGACATTCCTTACTGCTGGTTAGTTTTAATATTCAGTTAAGAAATCTATCTTTTCAACTTTAATCAGTAGAACATTTCTGATTCTTATATTTTGATTTCTGTATGTGTTTAAATAATGTCATTTATGTAGTTTTGTAGAGTTCCATTTTGCTTTCTTCAGTGAAATATTTTTATGGATGTTCCTTCTAAGCTTAAATATGATTGAGAAAAGTTTCCCTTGAAATGGGTATGGGAAGAACTAGAATATGGCAATCTCAAATTCTTTTTTTTTTTTTTAATTTTATTTTAATCATTGTTCAAGTACAGTTTTCTCCCTTTTACTCCCAATTCAGCCCCCCCAACCCTCCAAATTCTAAAAAATTTAAGATAATATAAATATTATTGGGACTCCCTGTTTATGTGATAAACAAGTTAATAATATAAATTAATAGTACATGTTAATTTTTAAAATGTGGCAGCAAAACCTGTGCTCAGCCTTCTTACTAGGTCTCACTCCGACCGCAGTCCCCAGCCCTGCAGCGGGACTATAGGAATCCTTGCCAGGAATACCTGCTCTTACACCGTGCCTTCAGGCACAGTTACCTACTTAGATGGAGCTTAGATTTCATATAATGATTTTCTAGAAGGTCAGCTGGGCACAAAAGTGGGAATCTCATTCCTTTGAGCCATCAATAGGGTAATGTGATTCTGGTCCCTGCCTTTGAATCTTAGAAATTAATTTACCGACTGAGGAGCTGCTATGGTAATTCTATTAAGATTTAGAAGACCCTGGTCACTTAGCATTTCAGAGGTTAGGAACATATGTTAAAGGAGATGGTGAAGCCCATAGCGTACAGAAATTGTCCAGTGTTGTCTCCAACACTTTTCTCGAAACCTCTACCGTGCCTGCCTCCTGCCATCTTCCCCAATGACTTCTCCATCTAACCATCTTGTGACTCTACCTCCCTCTGTCTTCCTCTCCCTCTTTTTTTCTTTGTATCTCCTCTCAGCCTGCTTTCATATCTGCATTGGTTTCTAGTCAAACAGGACTCCTTTTCTCTGCCATTGACACCCAGCTGGACATATATGGAATAAAAATAACTGATTTAGTACTGTATTTTGTGAAGTTATATATTCTCTGATAGTTATGCATATTTCACTGTTAAACATAGCTTTTTTCTTACTTGAATAGCTTTTTTTCCCCTCTTGGAGAAACTTCCAGTTTAATTATGAGGTTTAAAACCACAAGTACTGATTAACCTCAGGCTCTCATTCCTTGCAGCCCTTTAGAACAGCCAGGGCCCTCACTGTTCAGGACAAACTGCCAATTACCAAAGGCTGTTTAGATATTTTCCAAGGGGGAGAAAGAGTATAGTGGCTTGCATTTGTTTTGCATAGCAGCAGGCTGTTGTGAATATATTTGAATTAAAGATGAACTCATACATTGGTATTTCAAATCTTATAAATAATTAACATTATTTGAGAAGTTTTGAGAAAAGTGATGGTAAGGTTTTTTTTTTCACAGCCTGAGAATCTGGAATATCTGCTGTACATTAGGACTAATTGACTGCCTCAAGAATCTAAGTGATTCTCACTGATAACTTGATAATTTGGATTACCAAGAACTTTACCCAGGAATCTCAGATAGTGGGATTAGATTAGATATGCAGTTGAAAAGGTACTTTTGTTGGGGGCCCTTTGCTACCAACCTAACTTCATTGTAAAAATCTTTCTTCCTCTTGACCTCTGGCTGGGGGAGAAGAACAGACGATTTTAAATGAGTCTTTATCTTTCAAAGAACATCAGAATATGTCACAAAATATATTTCTAGTAGCTGTTATTTTAGCACTTATATCAGAGCTAAAGACAGCACACTGCCCCTTGTTCAACAGGGAAAAATGGTTTGCTTTGTAACATTTCTAGGAAATGAATTTGTAGGCCGCCCCCTTGTGCTGAATCAGGGAAAAGCATCTTGTTTCATTTTGTTCCAACCTGGAATGTTCTGTGCTGCCTGTGTGAGTTTAAATTGAAAAGTCCTTGATACTTGAGTGTTTGAGGACCTGTCCTTTACCGTCTATATTATTTTAGTGACTATGGTAAAGGATAAATATTAATATTATCATGGTGAAAGTCCAGACATGCATTTATTGGGATTTCTCTTGATTACCATTAGACAAGACCTGAATGCTTTTCAGTTGAGTTGAAATGTGCTAATTCCCTGTGTTGCCCCCAGGGCTAAGGACAGCATGTACCATGCCTTGGGCTACAGTACCATTGTGGTATTGCAGGCCATCATGACCTTCGAGCAACAGGACATCCAAAAGGGCATTTCTGCCATGAGGGACGCCTTACAAACCTGCCAGAAGTATGAACTGCGTAATTAAAAACTTGAGATATGACTGTAAACCTTTATGTATGTGTGATAAAATGAGTGCAGTTTGCCCGACTGAGATTTCTCTTTGAAGTTGGCACAGTTGTAGAAAAGGACTCGAGATTCAAAGTTTTCTTGGCCTCATGTAGTTTTATGTAATAGAGACAAAATTTCCTGTTAGGAATTACAGTACAGTTCTTGTTTGGCCAAATACTTGGCTCCATGCCCCCTACTTTTCTTTTGGTAACCTGAACTACAGAGAAGGGCTGAGGGAGATTTCAGAGGGGTAGCAGCATGCATCTCTCGGGTCTTCCTGTAGGGGTTGAGTTTAGTTACAGCAACTCAAGCCAGGCCAGTTGGGGCACATTCTTCTTCGTGTAGGAGATGCTGCAGATTCAGAAGGGAATGTTTTATTTGTTTAAAAAGAATGTAGTTGAACAATTTGTTGATGAAAATAAGATACACTTTCAAATTTATTTTAATTTTTGCTCTGTGTGTATGGGAAGACCTAAGCAAAAGCTGTTAGGTAGCATTGGTGAATTTTAATACTGTGGAATTATGTACTCATGTAATTATGTGACAAGTCCCCAAATGAAGAAAATTTTCAACTATTGAACTCTGAGTTTCATTCTTTACTCGTGGAGAATTTTACCTCAGAAACACTGAACCGATCTCAGCCATAGAAATCAGGGTTGGCAGGGTTGGTATTCACTGTTTTGGTTGGGTTTTCCGCTCACGTGTTCGGTGAGCAGGGGCTGAGCACCCAGAGCATGGCAGCCCAGTGCTGGGAGATGGGGATGCAGGGCTCAGGGGGGTGGGCTCTGCCCTGCGGACTTCAGTGCTGAGCTCTGCCTTGGTGACTCTTTGGTGTGATTGTGACTGAGTGTCAAATGAAAATGAGCTCAGGCTAATTTATTGTTATTTTTGTTTCTGTTTCCTTCCCTTCTGCTGATTCTATGCAGATATAGGAAAAAATGCACAGTTGTAGAATCTTTCTCAAGTTTTCTTTCTAGAGGATCATTGGAACAGATGACTGAAGGTAAGAGTCATTTAAAAGGTTATTTTTCCTATCTTTGGAAGTTTGAAATGTGATCATGCTCCTAAAATTCAATACTTAAGTGTATCATATAAAGTTAGTAGAATGTCTTTCTCTTTCCTATCATACCCTCCAGAAGTAACCATTGGTAGTCAGTTTTGAAGCCTTGCAGACTTTTCTGTGTACATATATGAACATATACACGTAGGGTACACATGGGGTTTTTGTAGTTGTTCATGAATTGTTCATTTTTGCAAGCATAGAATCATATTATGTATATTTTTCTACAACATTGTTTTTTTTTTTTTATATTGACGTTTTCCCATGCCAGTACATATTACTTGTACTTCATTCCATTTAATAGCTCTGGTAGTAGTATTCCATAGGATCAGGTGCCATTCATTACTTGCTTTTTCTCTGTTGAAGGACAGTTGCATTGCTTTTGCTTTTTCATTATTATAAATAATGCTTCCAAAAACTCTTGTACCTCTGTCTTCATGCATTTTTTTTGTAAGTATTTCAGAGGATAGCGTCCTAAAAGTGGAATTATTATGACTTAGGATTTGAAAATTGATAATATTTATAGGTGCTGCTTATGTTTTCTCTAAAGAGTTAGGTCAGCTTATATTTTTACCATCCATGTATAAAAGTTGCTATTTCTCTACAAGCTATTAAAGGGTTTTTTCAAGGTAAAAGTAATTTTGATACCCTAAAAAACATTGATAATGTTTTACAGTCTGGAAAATGTTTGGTTTGTGGACATTCAGGACATATTCAAGAACCCAGGAGTGGCTGTCGCACCTCGATCAGATGGAGGGAGAAGGGAGTGACTTTGTTTCAGTTGCTGCCTGTTCCCACTGAGATGAGGGCAGAAGTTCCATGATCAGCTCTGTTTTATAAGTGTTGCACTCCAGTCAGAATTTATTATCCAGCTATCCTGCAGAAGAGAAAATATGTTCTTCAGATAAGGCCATGCTAGAACAAAACTTCTGCCATCCAAGGAGCATCTGTGCATGTGTTGTTATTGTCAGATTTGCTCTCTGGAAGAGGTAACACAAAACAGCGTGGCCGTGGCTGAGTAAGGCAAGCGCAATTCTGGATGCTGCTGGCAGAGTCATTCCTGGTCTTCATGGGTATGCCAGACTCACTTCTGAACGTCTTTTATTATGAAGTTTTCCTTTGCTAGAGGAACTTGGGAACATTTGCATGATGTGAGTCTGGGGCACTGATTACAGCAGAGGACTTTGTTCCAAAGGCCATGATGGTGCCCTTGAACCATCATAGAACAGAATGGCATGCCATGGGTCACTCCAGGCAGCTGATGCCCATCTTCTCCAGAAAATGACCTGTAAGAACCCATAAGAATTTTCTTTATCCCCTTGATTTTGGGTAGAATATATCTTCATATTGTTCAACTTTGGGCCATTAATGTAAATTGGCCCCAGTAGACCTGGAGTTTGTAAGTCTGTGGGAAATTAAATGGGCTCCAAAGAAATTGGACTCTTTTATTTATAGGCTTTTTTCTGTTTTTTTTTTTTTTTTTCTGTATGGTTTCCCTCTAGTAGCGTATTACCTCCCACTTTCCTTTTTCTTTGCAATGTGAAGGCTTACATTTGAGATTTTTTTACCTTAGTTTTGGGAAGAATAACATGGTATTTTTTAATGTAAGTATAAATAGTAATACGAATTTAAAAAGTAGTAGTGATAATACCCCATTATATCTATGTGTCAGACATTGTTCTTGATGCTTTTCTTAACATTATTCATCTGAATCTGTGTAGTCTCCTTTTTATGGACTAGGAACTAAAGTTCAGAAGAGTAAACACATGGCCCATGATTACATGCCTAGCAGAGCAGGGTTCAAACCTGATCGCCCTTCCCTAAGCCATGGTCCATTCCACTGTATCCTGAACTTTCTCCTATAGGCATGTAGAAAAGGGCATAGACTGTGTCATATATGGATAAGGGAAATGTTGAATCGTTTCTGTTAGACATCTTGAAAATAGATGGTACTGTATCCCTGTCTTTATTATGTCTTTGGACATACCAGTTTAAAAAATCTGGAGTAGGTAGAAAATTACTGTATACTACATATTAAAAAAAAAATAAAGCCCTGGCTGGCATAGCTCAGTGGATTGAGCACGGGCTGCGAACCAAAGTGTTGCAGGTTCGATTCCCAGTCAGGGTACATGCCTGGGTTGCAGGCCATGACCCCTAGCAGCCACACATTGATGTTTCTCTCTTTCTCTCTATCTCCCTCCCTTCCCTCTCTAAAAATAAATAAATAAAATCTTAAAAATAAAAAACCAGTGAGATACTACTGCACATCTGTTAGAATGTCCAAAATCTGGTTGGCAAGGAGGTGCAGTGGGACAGCAGGAACTCTCCTTCACGGCTGCTGGCAATGCAAAATGGTGCAGTCACTTTGGAAGGCAGTTTGACAGTCTCTTATGAAACACACAGTGCAGTAACCACTCCCCTTAATACTTACTCAAAGAGTGAAACTTAGGTCCATAGAAAAACCCGCAAATGAATATTTATAGCAGCTTCATTCATAAATGCCAAAATTTGTAAGCAACCAAGATGTCCTCCAGTAGGTGAGTAGATAAATACACATCCAGACAATGGAATATTATTTAGCACTAAAAAAAGAGCTATCAAGCCCGGATAAGACATGGAAGAACCTTATATGCACATTGCTAAGTGGAAGACACCAATCTAAAAAGGCTACATGCTGTATGATTCCAAGTATATGGCATTCTGGAAAAGGCAAAACTGTGGTGACAATAAAAAGATCAGTGTTGCCAGGGGATCGGGTGGGGGATGAACAGCTAGAAAGCATGGAGGGGGTTTAGAGCAGTGAGTACTCTGTGTAATGCCATGGTGGTGGAGACATGTCACTGTACATTTGTCTAAACAGAGAATGTGTAACACCATGCGTGAAACCCAGTGTAAACTGTGGACTTTGGATGATTATATGTCAGTGGAGGTTCACCAATGGTAACAAATTACCACAAATGTTGATTAGTGGGCAGTGCCGATGTGGCATGTGTGGAGTTAGAGGGTGTGTGGGAAGTCTCTGTACCATACACTCAATTTTCCTGTGAGCCTAACACTACTCTAAAAATAGTTAATTAAAAATAATAAAAATAAACTAACTTGTGACCATGGCCTATTCTGAAATATAGGTTTATATAGACTTTTCCTATCTAAAGGCATGCTTAGCTAACATTTCAGTGCAATATGAAGATATTTCCTTTAGTGAAATAGGGAATTGTGAGGAAATAAGACTTTAATAAATTAAGTTGCATCTTATTCCTAACGAATTCAGCTGCCACTGTAACCCAAGCAGACTTTGTATTCAAGGGAGCATGTCAAAACATTGTAGCTTTAGTATGTGATTTGTGTTTCCTTATGGTAATTTTCATTGACATTCTTGAGTGGCTGGTTGTGTGCAAGAGTGAATATGTTGAATTAAACTTTTCTTGGGTTTAACATGGAACATACCCATTTTCTCTTGTGGCTGGCATAGTGCCCCTAAAAGGCTTTCAAATTGCCTTTAAGAACAGATATTTATATACAGTGCTTAAGATGTGAGAGGAATTTAATAGGAAGAATATGTGCATCAGGTATATAGAGTTCAAACTTTCTTATTGTTGCCTCTGCATTCTGCTTACACCCTTTAGCTGCTCTTAGATTTATCGTCCATCAGCCTTGTGCTCAGACCTCTGCAAGGACTCACCATTGCTTACTGAATCCAGCCCAGACTCTGACATTCAAGGTTGTCCACAATTTAGCCCCAGCCTACATTTCCAGGCCCACTGGCCACTCCTCCCTTTACACCTCCCTTTACTCCTCCCTCTTCCAGCCCAAGGCACACCCGCAGGTGATCTGCGCTTTCCTTGCTCCAAAGCCATGCCTGGGCTGGTCCTGTCCCAGCAGCAGCATACCCTTCGGCACCTGCCCTAAGCCAGCAACCTGTGTGCCTGAGCAGGCTTTCAAAGTGAATAATTCCTAACAATTCCCACTTGTTCCAAACATACCTAGGAAGAGGATGTTCAGATGACCCTGTGCAGGAGTTACCAGTTTTTATCCCACTGAATACCCTGAGAAGATCTAAAAGCACACTTTGAGGTGAGGTGTTTGGAAGGACTGAGACCTTGTTAATGCTGCCGGAATGAGCAGAGGTCGTAATTCCTCAGTTGTGGCCCCATCAGTGTGCGTGCTCTTGGCAGCGCTTAGCTGCATAGCGGCTCTTTTGTCAATTCAGTTGGTGCAATAGGAGCATGAGAGGAAGTTGAACGAATTTGTGAGAACCAGTGGTGTATATGTGTGTGTATGTGTGGGGGGCGGTGTGTGAAATGAAAGAAAGCATGAGTTCTCATCTAGTTTGATTCAATAGCATTTCCACTAGCATAGAAATACCCTAATTTTCAGGTAAGTAACAAAAAAAAAATTCTGCTTTCTGAGCTTCTACCAAAAAAAGCGCAACCTGGACCAAGGGCTGTAACCTTAGTGAAAGTGGCTAGCATGTCTCAACTGCTTCTCTGATTAGTGAGCTCTGCGTGCAGCACCTCAGTTGGTTCTTGAGCGTAAAGTAGTCTGAAACATTGCAGCCAGACTTTAGAAATGAGGAAACCAGCACAGATGGGCAGGGTAGCTTTCCTGAGGTCCTATAGCTAAGTGCTTGGCAGAGCCTTTTCCCCAACCCAGGCTGTCTAATACTCCAAGCTCATTTACTTAAATAAAACACCAATTTGTTTCTAATGGATGAAACAGGTATCTTCCGATGTTTTAATGCAAAGATTCCCCCTTCTTCCCAATTTCTGCTGGTATAATGGATTGTTCAGGGAGATAGGCCTTGTGTTTGGAGGTGCTCCATGCGTCCCTGGGATACACAGCACTGCACAGAGGTCAGGGCTTTGCCCCTTATCTAGGTACCTTAGCAATGAAAACAGCCTAAAACTGTGTCATGCACTTTGCATGTCTTCTTTTGTGTGTGAGGAGCCATGATGTGTGCATTCAGGACCGTTCTTTTTCACAGAACTTTAGAGAATTGCTATTTTCTCTGCATGTTAATAATGTGTCGAATCATTGTAATGATTCCCATACCTTCATATTTTAGAAGACGGAATTCACAAATTTAAGTTAGTTTTTTCAGTCTTTATAACTGTTCATTTACACATTACTGTTAAAAAATAAGTGGTTTTCTTTTATAAAAAGAAAATGCTTTTAATGCTTAATGCTTTTAAGTTTTGATGTCCTCTCATGAGATGAGTTTGAGTCTCTGTCACCAACTGCCCAGCTCCTTGCTGTTACACTTGAATGGGACCGTTAGCTGACTTTACTGAACCATTTTGCACGTTCTGGGGAAATCTTGCTGACACTGAGAGCTGAGGTCGTCATTCCACTTTTATGGAAGCATCAGAGCAATCTAAGTTTTTGTATCTCTCTTGGGCTCATTTTATCTACTATTCTTTTCTGGACATCTCGGAGCAGTTGCCGTGGACATGGGATTTTCCTAAATACGATTTTATTTGTTTTTAATAGAGGAAATGCATGCCGAAATCTGTTATGCCGAGTGTCTCCTACAGAAAGCAGCACTCACGTTTGTGCAGGTAATGAACCTTTGCCTTAGAACTGGTATTGCTGGGGAGGCTTGCCAATACTCCAGAGAAGAAATGTGGCTCTTTCTATGTCGGTGTTTCAGTTCTTTTGACTTAGAGTTGCAATGGAAGATATTTGTTATTCTGATAAACTTGGGCTGAAAAAAGAGTCTAGGGAGCTTGATTTCTGTTCAAATGCACTTAGGGTCTGTTTCAAACTTCAGTTACTGGAATCATTGCCTTTTAAAGAAACTGTCTTGCAGGTAACTCAGCTAACTTCAGGATGCTTCTCTATGAAAACTGAGCTGCTATCTCTCTGTGCTTGCTGTCATTGGCTGAGGGCTGCACACAGCAGCAGAGGAGGCTTCCTTGGCTATTTCCTTCTTTCACCAGATGCTTCAACAAAACTCAGTTATGCATGCATAGGGAGCCATGCTTTTCATGTACACTTCAGATTTTATTTTTCTCCCTCCTCCTATTGTCATTCCCCTGTTTTGCTTTTAGTTCTTCCTGTGGTGAGCATTTTTAAAAAGTCACTAAGAAACTGTGAATTCTTTTCCTATGGGGCATTTTAATTTCACCTCTAAGAGCTGTTGCAACAATACCTTGCCTATTATTGTGTCTTGTAATGCTTCCAAAAAGCATGGATTTTAACATCATGGCCGCATGGGTGGCAATGATGGATACAGTGGGGCAGCATGGGGTGGAGATTGCAAGGGGCAGAAATCCAATTGTAAAATGGAAAATCTTGCTCTATCTCAGTGTTTCACATTGTTTGGAGGGATGTTTTTCTCTTTTCTGGAGGTTGACCTCTTAGGTTGGGTTTTGTTTACTAAAATTGAATCAATCTGGTCTATGACCCTGTTTTCTAAAACCCAACGTATTAGGAAGGCTGATTGAAAACAAGTCTTACTGCCTTAGTAAACATGTTAGTCATGGAGGCCTTCAGTTTTTTTCTCATGTGTTTTCCAAATAGGGATTTGACAACCAAATCTGTGGTTTGAAGCCTTATTTTATGCTTGGGGCCTTGTAATTAAAGATCTGGGAGATATCCATGGCTCTCCTCTTCCTCATTCCGCTATATGCAGTCAGCTTTATGGTCATGCCTCCATTACCTTTTGAAGATTTAGCAGCTCCATCTCTTCCTCTTTCTTCTGACTGTAATTGTTCTAGAGAAAGTGGTCATCAGCTCTTCCCCAGGCTGCACAGGACCCAATGGATTTTAACATCTGCCTCTAATTTCTCTTACCTCCAGCTCATTTTCCATTGTGCAAATGAACACCCTCTCAAAGATGACACCCTCTCAAAGATGACAACCTCACCTTTTACTTCAGCATTTAGTAGCTCTCATGGACTATAGTCATGGTTCTGTATTAGAAATAGGGGAAGCTTTCACAAACTAAACTGTAATCTCCCCCCCAAATTTCCTACTCCCTCTCCGATGTCCACAGATGGCAGGTATGTTGCATACTTGAGTGGCATGGGTAGAGGTAGCTTTCTTACTCCTTAGTCATTCCCTTCTTTGCTGTAGGTTTGTGCAGCAGTGCTGAGTTACACAACACAGAGAGCCAAGCACACCATGATCTGTAATGCTTCCTGGTCTTCCCACCTGTTTTCCTTTGTTTGCAGAATTTATACCTGCTTTGCCTTTCTTCACCAGGTCACTCGCTAATTTTTTTTTTTTTTTTGATGTGTGTGTGCTTTAAGCACTGATACTCCAGGACACTTTGTGATTCTTCATGTCCCCTTAGCCCTCCCACCTTTGTGCTCTCATGACATCCTGCTGTGCATGTCCCCATCCATATGCATTCCTCTACCCCTTAGCACTCTGCATTGCTTTCCTCTAATTTACAATCAGGAGCCAGTGTTTGGTGAACCATGAAATGAAATATTCTTATTCGAGGCATATTTTAATCTAATTTAAGAAGTTCTTTCCTGGCCACTATTGCAACTTGTGTAACCATAAAATTTTCTTAAAATATGAAGATAAAAATTTAAATTGCATAGTGAATTTTGTATTTATTGATTCTTTTAATAATTAAAATATTAAATGTTTAAGTAATTAATGAAATTTGCAAACTAAAATGAGTTTTCTTTTGCTTCTGAAGGATGTTCAAGTGTACAGGAAATAAATACCAAAGCATCTTTCTGATATTAAGAGATTAGAAAAGTGTTCTTGGAAATGTGAAACATGAGGCCATCTCCATTTGCATCATCTGTTGTACAGGGTAGGGCAAAAATAGGTGTACGGTTATGAGTATGTGAAACAGTTTATTCTTGTATTAGTATTTATTAATTATTATATTATTTTCCACACAAAAAACTGTAAACCTTCTTTTGCTCCATCCTGTAGCAACTTTCTTCAAGCAGTTACTTGATATACTTTGTTAAGAGACTCTTTTGGAATCCTAGATTGCTAACTGTGAAAATAGTATTCATTTAGGTCAATTGCTTCCATTTCATGGATGATGACCATTAGGCAAGGAGAAGTGTTGTGATATCAGTGACAACAATTTTAGAATCCAGAACAGTTATTTTAATCTGGAATTGTGTATAAATGAAACTCACAATGTTAAATAGACTCTGCCTGCTAAAATACCCTGAGGAAAAAAGAACCATAATCCCATTTACTGAAGTATGACTGAAAGGGACAGGAAAGTTAGGCCTTAGGATCATAGTCTTAAAAGTCACAACCATTTTAGAGTCTATTGAACCCAGAAGAAAAGTGGTCAGTAGATGGTCCTTATTAAAGTAGCTTTGGACTAACTTATGTGGCCCCTAATTAATTGGTGAGGATTATTGCTTTAATTACTTCCCTAAAGTAATTTGAGGATTTTAAAAATGTTTACTTTATGTTGTCCTCTAACTTTAAAGAAGAATGACAAAAAATTTTTTAAAATGTAATAAAAAAATTATTTACTCAAAAGATTGAATCTTGTTCTAATCACACAACTTACATAGCTGTGGAGAAAGTTTTAAGGATCTCTTACTGAATAATCTGATTATTTAATTGAATTGTTTTCAGGATGAAAATATGATCAACTTCATCAAAGGTGGACTCAAAATTAGAACAAGTTACCAAATATATAAGTAAGTTAAAAGTTAAGATGTGGGCTTTTTAACTCTTATAAGTGGACGTTTGTTCCTTTTTGACCACAGTGATGGGTTTTTAAAGAATTCCTGCACTATGTACCACTTTGTACTTCAGAATTCTCATTAAGTATGACTAGGTTTTTTGTATTTGGTGTTGGTAAAAATGCACTTGATTTTTGGCTTACTGAGTATGTATTCAATGTTATAGGACAACAGAATTTAAGTTTAAATGTAATTTTAAAGGAAAATAGCTGAAAAATAGCTGGCTGACAGTTTATGATTAGATAAACTTTAGTATCTCTCTTCTGAAAACAGTATGTAAATTTAAGATAACAGGTATATCTTTGGTTTAGCCTCTAGAGTAGCATTGCCCAATAGAATTTTCTGCAGTGATTCAAATGTTCATTTTAGGTGGATAATAGTGTTGTTCAAATCTTTTATATCCTTTCTGATTTTTATCTAGAGGTTTTATCATTTACTCACAATGTTAAAAATCTCCAACTTTGATTCTGGAGTCATTTGTTTCTCCAGAATCTTTAGTTACATCAGTATTTGCTTTATATATTTAGAACCTCTGTTTTTAGGCTTATATATATTTTATTTAATCTTTCTAATAAATTAACCTTTTTATGATTATAAAATGTCCCTATTTAGATCCTTATAATATTCCTTATCTTGAAATCTGTGTTGCCTGATATTAATACATCTATTCATGCTTTTTTAATGATAGTGTTTGCTTACGTATATTCTTTTACTTTAAACCTATCTTTTTATATTTAAATTGCATTTCTTGTAGATGTACATAGTTGTGTTCTGCTTTTTTATTCAGTATGACAGTATGATTGCACTTGTGACTACCCTTTTGTTTTTTCTCTTTGATTCTCTTTTCGATTTGATTTCTCTTTGACAGTACGATTGCACTTGTGACTACCCTTTTGTTTTTTCTCTTTGAAACAAGGTTTTCTCACCTTGTTTTGCTTTAATAAGTTAAAAATACATGCATATGTATGTATATATATTTCCATTATAATCCCTCTATTTTCTTAGCTATAGCAATCTTTAATTTTTTAATGGTTGCTGTAGGGATTACAATAGACTTCTTATCACTTTTAACTTAGAGTTAATGCTACACTATTGCACATAAAATATGAGAGCTTTGCAAAAGTATAGTTTCATGTACCACCTATTTTCTTTACTATTCTTATGACAGTACTCGTATGTATATTTAAAAACCCACAATGTGGTGCCAAATTTTTGTTTTAAAAAGTCTTATAATGTCTTCTTTATGTATCCATCTATCTACCATTTTGCATGTTCTTCATTCATTTCTGTATACTTTCAGACTGAAGAATTTCAGTATTTCTAGTGGTGTATGTCGGCCTTCAAAAATAGTTCTCTTTGTTTCATTTACTTGAAAATGTTATCATTGCCTTCATTTTTGAAGGCTGTTTTTTTGTTCAGTATAGTATTCTGAGTTATAAGGATTTTTTCTTCTTTTCACCCCTTAAAACTGTCAATCCATTGTATTATGGTCTCTGTTATTTCTGATTAGAAGTCAGCTCTTATTTGTATTATTATTTCTCTGTCTGGCTGCTTCGAAGACTTTTTTGTATCATTGGTTCTCAGCAATTTGACCATGAAGTGCTTGAGTATGGTTTTGATAAATTTGTGGCCATTACTTCTTTAAATATTATTTTCTGCTCCATTCTTACACGTCTCCTTCTGAGACTCCAATTTCGTGTTAGCCTGATTTTGTTTAATAGGTCACGTAGGTGCTGCTTATTTAAAAATTTTTTTTTCTCCTGAGTGGATATTCTTTCAACATCTGGGTCATCATGGGGTTCGTTTCTATTGCCTGCTTTTTCTCTTGACTGTATGTCATATTTTTCTTTTCTCATTGGAATTTTTTAATTGTATACTAGATATTTATACATTGTAGGGACTATAGGTTTTGTTATCTTTCTAAGAAGTGTGCTGATTTTCATTCTAGGAGTATTTAACTTGACTAGACAGACTGTAAACTCTTACTCTCTGATAGTGGGCAGCATCTGAAAGCTTTGTTACATTGTTTTTTCTGTCTTGCTTGTGATTTTCTTAGGAGTCTCCTTAGTGCTCACATAGTTTGTGGGTCAGCCAAGAATTTGAGTGAAATTTTAACACTGATTTTGGTGTTTCTCTCTTTGTGATTTTCCTTTACCTAAACATTTAATTTTAAAACAATTAGGACTGTGGCTTTCTGTATGAGTCCTAGGCACTGCATGTTGAATGGACAGGGGAATACTTTCAGGTAACTAGTCATAAATATCAAGTGTACTCAGGTGATCCTTTCTTTAAAAAAGCCAACTCTTTCTCCAGCTTTTGGCTACTTTTTTTTCACTGCCTAGTGCCCGCAGATATATTTAAAATATTTTGAATTTTTTCTAGAGTTTAATAATTCTGTGGAGGGTTATCATTGGGAGGGTTAATCTAATATAAACCATCCTGCCATTATTAGAAGCAGATTTCCATTAGTGGAAACAGCCAATATTTAGTACTTTAAGAGATACTTTAAACCAAAATGATTTTATGACGTATATTCCACTCAGAAATCCTGGAGAGGGTTGGATTTGGGGATCCTGACATGCTGTTTAGTTTTCCTGTCAAAATATTTTTAGAATATATAAAAGAATGTTCGAATTGGTTGCTTCTACTCATCAAAACTTTAAAAAAACTGAAGAAATTAAAATACCTTTATAATGGCACATACATCAGTGGAATGGAAGGTAGACTTTTGAAACAGATACTTTGTGTGTGTGCACACACTTATGTGTACTACAATATACTAAGTTCCTGTACACACATAGGTCTTTTTCCAAAGAGGGGAGAAAGATGAGTGTTTTAATAAATGGTTTTGGGAAAACTGGTCTTCATTTTAGAAAAAAAGACAATACAAAAATAAATTGATATAAAGTTAATATTAGAATATTTTTCATGAGTACTAATAGAACAAAGGAAAGTATTTTATAGTAGCCCTAAAGTACAAAGACTAAACTTTTGCTTTTTTTTTTTGCTTTAAAATAATTTCAGAATTTTTATAAAGAATTTTTAGATATTCCTCACTCAGATTTATAAATGTTAACATCTATGGAACCACAATATAATTATTAAAATCAAGAAGTTAACGTTGATTCAGTATTATTAACTATTGACTTTACTCAGTTTTCTCAAACTGTCCCACTAATGTCCTTTTTCTGGTCCAGATTTAAACCAGGATTCTGGATGTTGCATGTGGTTGTTATTACCCACAGTCTCTTTTAATCTGGAAGAGTCCCGTAGTCTTCTTTGTCTTTCATGATGTTGATATTTTTTGAGGAATGCTGGGCAGTTACTTTGTAGAACATCTCTCAGAGTGGACCTATCTAATGTTTCTTCATGATTAAATTCTTCATGGTTTTGCAACAATGGCAAGAATACCATAGAAGGGATGCTGTCTCCTTCTCTGTGCATCATATCATAAGTACATGATGTCAATTTCAGAAGCCTTCTTAAGCGTGACATAAAATCAGAAATCGTAAATGATTGACTTGACCAAATAAACATTTCATTTGTTATCATAGCAAAGTACACATAATAAAAAATACAAATGAAAAAGTGATGTTGGTGATTGAGGACAGATGACAGTGTGAGATGCTCATAAGTTGGTGGGAGTTTTTCTGAAAGAAGTTCTGGCAGCATATATATCAAAATTAAGAATATGCATCACCTTTGATCTCAGAAGCCCAGTTTCTAAGAATTTATCCTGAGTATAACTAGGATACTATCACTGTAGTTATAGTACTAGGTGTAGGAAAAGTACTTGATGAACATACAGGAACACTGTGAGCAGCATGGTTTATAATGTGGAAAATTTAAAACCAAATATTTAATAATAGGAATGTGGTTAAACAAATTATTTTATATAATGGAATAATATGCCCTTGGTAAAGAATAAGGTAGCTTTCAGATTGCTGAGTTCTGGTCAACATGGAGGTGTAGGTAAATATGGGTCAGCTTCTTGCACAACCACAGCAAAAATTACAGCTGGACTACAAAACAACTATAACTCAGAATTGTCAGAAAATCGAGCTGTATGGAAGTTTAACAACCAAGAAATTAAAGAAGTCACATTCATCCAGATGTGTAGAAGGAGTGGAGACATGGAGACACAGCAACCACAGAAATATGGAATGGACAGCCCACACCCGTGTGTGATGGATAAAAATTGGGAGGGATGCCTCAGGAGTGAGGGATTCTAGCCCACACCAAACCGCCCAGCCCAGGGTTCCAATGCCAGGAAAATAAGTCCCTATAACTTCAGGCTGTAAAAACTAGTAGGGTTTGGGGTGTCAGAAGAAACTTCAGGATTCTCAGGCTTCTCCTCTTAAAGGGCCCGCAGTGGACTTAGGACTTAATACAGACTCACTCCCTCTGGGCTCCAGCATCAAGACAGCAGCTGGAAGCGCATCTAGCAAATGGGGAGAAACTGAAGTGTCTATCATCAGGGTGAGGGGACAGCTTCCTCCTGGAAAGAACCCCAGAGGTCAGCCAGTGGCCACTGTTCCTTTTCTGAGCCTGCCCCCCGCCCCCGGCCCTGCCAACCACTTTGGAGCCACAGAGTGGCAACACTATATCTGAGACTTTATCAACCTGGTTCACACAGGTTGCCCCACCCTGGCAATTACCTAAGACTCTGCCCCATACAACTTACCAGTGTGCTTTTCTATAACAGGCCACATTAGTGAGACAGGGAGCCAAAGCAGCTCTACCTAATACATAGAAACAAACACGGGGAGGATGCCAAAATGAGGAGACAAAGAAATATGGCCCCAACAAAAGAACAGAATAAAACTCCAGAAGAACTGCTGAAAAAATGCAGATAAGAAATCTATCAGATGCAGAGTTCAAAACCCTGATTATTAGGAAGCTCAAGGAACTCTTTGGGTACTTCAACAGCATAAAAAAGACCCAGGCAGAAATGAAGGTTACACTCAGTGAGTAAAGAATACTTTATAGTGAACCAACAGTGGAGTGGATGAAGCCGAGAATCAAATCAATGATTTGGAACATAAGCAAGAAAAAAACACAATTCAATCAGAACAACAAGAGGAAAAAATAATCCAAAAAAACCAAGGATAGGCTTAAGAGTCTCTGGGAAAATTTCAAATGTGCCAGCATTTGAATCAGGGGTGCCAGAAGGAGAAGAGAAAGAGCAAGAAGTTGAAAACTTATTTGAAAAAACAATGAAAGAAAACTTCCCTAATTTGGTGGAGCAAATATACTTACAAGTCCAGAAAGCACAGAGAGTCCCAAACAAGTTGGACCCAAAGAGGACCACGCCAAGGCACATCATAATTAAAATGCCAAAGGTTAAAGATAAAGAGAGAATCTTAAAAGCAGGAAGAAAAAAGCAGAGTTACCTACAAAGTAGTTCCCATAAGACTATCAGCTGATTTTTCAAAAGAAACTTTGCAGGCAAGAAGGGACTGGTAATAAGTATTCAAAGTGATGAAAAGCATGAACCTACAACCAAGGTTACTCTGTCCAGCAAAGCTGTCATTTAGAAATGAAGGACGGATAAAGAGCTTCTCCGACAAGAAAAAACTAAAGGAGTTCATCATCACCAAGCCATTATTACATGAAATGTTAAAGGGACTTGCTTAAGAAAAAGAAGATCAAAACTATGAACATTAAAATGGCAATAAATTCACAACTGTCAACAACTGAATAAAAAAAAAAACCTAAGCAAACAAGCAGAACAGAAACAGAATCATAAATTATGGAGTTCACTTGGAGGATTGTCAGCTGGTAGAGGGAAGGGGGAAAGTGGTGGGGGAGGGGGGAATGGGGGGGAAGGTGCAGCGACTAAGAAGTACAAATTGGTAGGTACAGAATAGACAGGGGGATATTAAGAATAGTACAGGAAACGGAGAAGCCAAAGAACTTACATGCATGACCCATGGGCATGAACTAAGGGGGTGTTGCTGGAGGGAATTTGGGGTACTGGATGGAGAGGGGAAAAGGGGGAAAATGGGACAACTGTAATAGCATAATGAATAAAATATATTTAAAAAAGAATAAGGTAGCTTTCATGTGTTTTCATGGTAACTTGTTTTTTTTTTAATTTTTTTTTTAAAGATTTTATTTATTTATTTTTAGGGAGGGAAGGGAGGGGGAAAGAGAGAGAGGGAGAGAGAGGGAGAAACATCAATGTGCGGTTGCTGGGGGTTATGGCCTGCAACCCAGGAATGTACCCTAGCTGGGAATCAAACCTGGGACACTTTGGTTCCCAGCCCGCGCTCAATCCACTGAGCTACGCCAGCCAGGGCTCTCATGGTAACTTGTTAATATGACTTATAGAACAGCATATACTCTATGATCCCACTTGTGTCTTTTAAAGATTGCTTTCTTAGTAAAGCATAAAAACACCTAGGAGTTTATGTATTAGGCTGTTAACAGTGACTGTATCTCTGTGGGACGGTTTTGTAGGGATACTTATGCTGTCTCCATTTTGTTTGACAATTCTGTGACAATCATTTATTACAGCAAGTAGAACATACACATTTTGATTAAAAACAGAAACTAGCCCTGGCTGGTGTGGCTCAGTGGATTGAGTACTGGCCTGCGAACCAAAAGGTCACTGGTTTGATTCCCGGTCAGGGCACATGCCTGGGTTGTGGTCCAGATCCCCACTAGGGGGCGTGTGAGAGGCAACTACACATTGATGTTTCTCTCCCTCTCTTTCTCCCTCCCTTCCCCTCTCTCTAAAAATAAATAAATAAAATCTTAAAAAAAAACCAGAAAAGAACTCTGCCATCGTGTTGATGTTTTGACAGTTGAATTATTATGCATATGTAAACGTATATAATTATGTTTTATATAATGAAATTACATGCTTTGTATTATTTTTAAATATTTGTTTTCACTTTATATCAAAAAGTTGTAGGTTATAGAAGATTTTTAGTTCATCCTGGCTTTTAAAGGCTGCATAATATTCCATTATGTGGGTGTACCACATGTGTACATATAAATGTATGCATTGGTACAACTGTATTCTTAACTAATTTTCTGGTGTTGCGTATTGGGTTTATAAAATTTCATTATAGATAAGCAGTAGAGTATCTCTCTTTATAGGTAAGGTTTCATGTGTATCCATGGTATTTCCTTAGAACAAAACTGGATTTGTTGGGTCAGAGATATACATGTGTTTAAGATTTGTGGTATATACTGCAAAATTATTCTGAAGAATAATTCGATTGGTAAACATTTTCTTAAAGGACCAGATTGCAAGTGTTTTATACTTGCGGGGACATAAGATTTTTGTTCGAACTACTCAACTCTGAGACTGATGTGAGTAAGCAGCCGTGGACAGTTAGGAAATGAACAGGTGAGGCTGTGTCCCAACAGCGAGCACTGTAACATTTTACCAGTAGTAGGTGAATGTATCTGCTTGTTCTTACCTTTGCAAGCCCTAGATTTTCATTTCAAAATTAAAATAATGCTTAATGATCACAAAAGTAGCATATATTTTAGAATATAGGAAAATGTAGATAAGCAAATATTAACACACACACACACACACATCACATACTCTTACCAGTCAGTGATTATAGTTGTTAACACCTTAGTATATGTTTTTTAAGAACAATTTTTATACAAATCTAAAGATACATATTTTTTTTAGCCAAAAGGAGATCACACTGTACATATTCTTTTGTAACTTGCTTTTTGAGTTAATAGTCTACTTCTTCATGTCAATAAATCTTCATTCATGTAATAGCTAGATCATCTTTATATTTTCCAGTTGGCCCCAGATTTCTCTTCCTGCTGGTATGTCTGCACAAGATTGAACCCAAGACGGTCTACTGCACATCTTATGTTTGTGTCCATTAAGTAATATTATATTTTAGAAGAGTGCCTATTTTTATGACCGCTGTTGAAGACCCCAATCCAGTTATCCTGCAGAACATCCACAGATTAGTTTGGTGGTGTCCTTGAGCTTTCCTTTAGCTGTTCCTTGTTGGAGCTTAGGCTGCCATTACAAAATGTCGGAGCCTAAATGGTTTAAACAACAGAAATATATTGTCTCCGGGTTCTGGAAGTTGGAAGTCCATGATCAGGTTCTGGGGCAAACTCTCTTCTGGGCTCACTGACAGCCACCTTCTCTCTGTGTCCTCACATGGCAGAGAGAGTGCTGTCTCTTTGTCTTCCTCTTCTTATAAGTCCACCTATCTTACCAGATTAAGACTCCACTTAACTAGATTATAACCTCACTTAACCTTAATTACCTCCTAAAATCTCTGTCTCCAAATACAGTCACACTGGATGGCTAGAGTATGCATGTGGTGGGTGGGGGGGTTGGTAGGTAGTGTACATAATTCAGTTCTATAGTTCCTTGTATTTCCTGTAAACTAGAAGAGCTACAGGATTACTAGATTCAGGTTAAATACATTTTGCTTGAATATGCCACAAATGAAGGTGCTGGCTTTATAATTATATCACGTCAGATGATATATAATATCTGATTATTTCTTAATACACTAAAAAAATATATTTGTTGCCCTGGCTGGTGTGGCTCAGTGGATTGAGTGCCAGCCTGTGAACTGAAAGGTTGCTGGTTTGATTCCCCACAGGGGCACATGCTTGGGTTGTGGGCCAGGTTGTGCATAAGGCAACCAGTCAATGTTTCTCTCACATATTGATGTTTCTCTCCCTTTCTCCCTCCTATCCCCTCTAAAAGTAAAAAATAAATAAAATCTTATAAAATATATATTTATCAAATTTACATATATATATATATTTGGCATTTATATATATATTTGTCAATTTGATAAGCAATTTTTGGTTATTATTTTTATATATTTGTCATTGTGTTTAATTTGCATTTCTGTTTTGAAGATGTGAAGGAAAAGGGAGAAATGCATAGAAAGGATATTAAAGTGAGAAATCAGGAAGGTTTGCTTGGATAGAACAGGGAAAATTAAGAGGACAGATGGAGCCATTGTGATGGAATTTGGTTTCCTCTTTCTGTCTTTCCTAGTTAGAGCTCTAACTTATTTGGTCTCCTTGAGACCATGGAGAACACACTGAAACTCATGTTTTTTGTCAGTAGCATCTCAGTTACTCAGTGAAAGTTACTTGGGCAGCTGAAGTGTGCACAGCAGCTGAGATTGGACCACACCCAGGAAGTCCCTCTGTCACATTACTGGGAGGCTGTGAGATCCCAGTCCTGGGTCCGATGTCCTGAGTCATACTTGCTGGTGTTTGAACCCTCTCTTGCCTTAAGGCTGGAAGGATAGATCCTGATAAACAATGTAGAAATGGGTGTGTTATTTTCCCTTAATGATAATACCCAGAAATCTTAAGAGTAAAACTCAGGACAACATCCCTTTAAATTTTTTCTAACATTTTGGCTTAATGACAATTATTTTATGGTGTGTAATGTGAAATTCGACTTAACAATAGTTTTGAGAGTCATGGTAAACTTATGCTACAACTCTTTTCTTCAATCCAGGGAATGCCTTTCTCTCCTGCATATAATTCAGAAGAACAAAGCTGAGCAACAATTCTTCTATGAGTTTGAAGGGGGTGTCAAGCTTGGAATAGGGACCTTTAATCTGGTAAGTAAATAATTACATATCAACCAGCACCCTTTGCAAGAGAATCATAGGTTTTCAGTGCCTTCCGTACTGCATTTGAACCTCACCCTGAATCCCTGTCTGGGTTTGGTTGGTAAGTGGCCAGCGTGGGGTTTCCTTTTGCTGTGAGCCAGTGGGGATTTGGTTGGCGTCTGCTGTGAAGTCCAGCACATGCTCAGAATGGTTTGGATTGTACAGCAAGGGAAGCATACGGCACCCTGAATGGACTAGTACTGATTTTTTTATAGTAAGGAGCTTGGAATGCAGTTTCATTTCCACATCTGAGGTCATGTTGCCACAACAGTGGTGGCTCTGGAATTGAAAATCGGGGAAGGAGTGATGCAACTTGAGGGATGGTTTTGATGCTTGAGGGGAGATGAAGCATTTGAGTAGATATCTGTCGAATTGTGATATAGTAGAGATTTTGAAATTGTATTGAGGTTGGACTGGAATTCTTGAGAAAATAAACTGGTGAAGGGAGTTGTGTGCACAAGAGTGTATGCCACCATGGCCACTTTGTTCATGAGCCCTTTGGGTGCTGACAGAGGTGGCTGAGCAAAGAGACAGACTACTGTCCACAGAGTGGGTTGCCCTGTCTGCCTACATATTAAAGTCCTCTGCTGAGGTAAGCCTTTAGTGAACATTCAGATGGGACACAAATATCTTCATGTGTTTTGCCTTCTCAGAGAGGTCTCTCCACACACCTCTTCCCGAGACCTCCTCGTTGTCAGTTTTCCCATCATGTTCTTTCCAAATCCCTGACCATCCAACCACACACCATTGGCTACAGCCCGTGAGTCAGTATATAATCACACCTATGGCCGTTTCTCCTCTGAGCAAAGCGGACAACCAGGCGCAGTGCTCCAAGTTCTGCACGGCCAGGGAGGATTTCCCTTTCCCCCGACTCTGCAGGGACGTGGGTTTCAGACAGGTGTGTGGTGCTGCAGCTGTCCACTCGGGCTGTGCTGCATGCATGGCCTGCAGGCACCACAGACTTGGCTTTCCAAACAAAGAAACCTTGTTTGGAAAGGTGGGCACTGAGGAATTGCCTTCTCATCATTTCATCCTTACACATGAAAGGGGCAAGAATTCTTTAGTGCATGCTGAAAAGGCCAGGTTTTTCTTTATACTTTTTTTTAGGTTATTGTTTTAGCTGTATTAAATTATTCACAAGTAATTATTAAACATGTGCCATATGTTATGATTGAGACATGTCTAATGATTTAAACTTGGTTCTAATTTCTTATATTATTGAATGATTAAACTTTCTGTTTGGAGTTTAGCATTTATCTGCAGTTAGAGTCACTGACATGTAAGTGCATTTGTATTTTTTCTTACAGATGCTGTCCCTTTTACCAGCACGGATCATCAGACTACTAGAATTTATAGGATTTTCTGGAAATAGGGTACAGATTTAATTTTACTTTAACTTTAGCAGCAAAGATAACAGTATTTATTGAATATTGGAGTAATGCAGCATGTACTCATGGCAAACATGACAGCTGTGGGCAGTTCGTTTGCAGGACAAGGAAAAGCCATTGGTCCTTGATCATATTTTTCAGGAGTTAGAGATGATTTTTCTACTGAAAGTGAAAATGTTTTGTCTTTGTTACCTAAAATCTGGGATGAAAACTTTTGTTTTACTAATACAGGGTGGGGCAAAAGTAGGTTTACAGTTGTTTGTATGGAAAATAATACAGTAACAAATAATAATAATGCAAGAACAAACCTGGTGCTTCGCCTACTCACAGTGGTGAGCCTGTTCTTGCCCACCCTGTATTGCCACTTGGAGGACCTGGAGCACACTTGTGTGGTTTGAATTGACTTCCTTAGCATTTGTGCACCGCCGCAGTCTTCTCTAAAACCAGGAAATTGGCTAGATTTCCAAGTCTAACATTTTGTAACTCTCATGGATCAAGCATAGTTGCAGTATTTTGGGATTCCTTGTTTTTATTAGCTGTACTATAAAACTAAGCAAGGAAATTTGTTTTCCATGAGTCTTGCTCAGTGTGGTTATTTTTGTAGTGTATAACATTTATTACTCTTAATACTCAATATGCTATTGCCAGAGTTGCCTTATTGCTGTCCCTGTTAGTTAAGAGAGCAGGTTTTAAGAAATGAGTTAGAACATGGACAAGAACCTGTAATTTTTTCCCTCCTTTATTTTACTGTCCATGTTCTTCATAAGCTATTCTGTATTTATGCTGATTTCTACATGTTATGTTCTTTCTGTTCAGACTCTGTATTTAATGATTACCCTTCCCATTGACCATTCATTTTTCATGTGACAGTATATTCTAATAAAATCATGTGTTCTTATACTGTCTTATCTATTTGATGGAAAGGTCTTCGAAGACATAGAACCATATTTGTTCATACCCACACAGTGCCTTCCATTTAGATCCTCAGTATGCTTTAATACATTAATGTTTGTATCAGAGAAATACAGCATTTCCATAAAATGAGCTCTGCTTTTTTTCTTTCCCTAGAATCATGATATAAAAGAATTTGTGAGAGTGTTTTTTGCCTAGTTAGGAATTATGACTTTTCTAAGCTCTTGAGAAATAAACCCATTTTCTTGGAGGGTGGGGATAAACAAACTAGCATTTTGGAATAACGAACTAGAAGTTTTGGAATATGATTTTTCAGTCATGCTCTTCACATTCCAAACTGCATTTAACCCCTCAGGAACTGGGCCTCCTGCAGCTACGGGAAGGTGCATCCGGAAGAAGCATGCGGTCCTCACTGTGCTGCTTAACTATATTATCTTTTCACACTTATATCTCCCTTATACTTGGTGAGTACGGCATTACATTTTATGTCATGGACATCTGATTATCTTTTATCTGAGTCAGTAAAAATTTAGATAAGTAAGCACTAGTAATCTACATCTGTTTATTTACTTATTTATTTATGAATAAAGATGGGAAATAGTGACATTTGTTATGGTAATATTTGTTGGGGGAGGGTTTCTTTCTTTGAAATTTTTTTATTTGTTCTTAGCTAAAAAATTCTGTGAAACTTGTTTAAAGTGATCTATTTTAGCATCATCATATTAGACTTCTTTTTACATTAAATTTTGGGCTAAAATAAGTTAATATTGCTATTAAAATCAGAATTCCAGTTAGGAATCTAAGACAGCCACCTCCATTCTTAAGAATTGTAGAGCTTTCCTAAATGAAAGTTGCATATAAAACTTATTTTATTTTCCAAATGTAAAAATGACAAAATAACAGTTTTCACCTTTTTGATGAATAGGGCTTTGCTGTACTTTAATGAAATTTAGAGAATTAATTATAAGTATCTACCATGTTTCATGAATACTGAGGCTTTTCTGTTAAATTTGTAGGCACAGGAGAGGTGAACCTTGTGGAAGCGGAGAGTCTCCTTGCACCCTTCCTCCAGCAGTTTCCAAATGTACGCCTTGAACTGCAAGCATGTGTTTCAACCATAATCCATCAGCCAGGGCTGATTATTGAGCAGTCTGTTCTCTTCCTTTCTTCATAGGGCTCGCTTATGTTGTTTTATCACGCCCGAATAGAGCTGCTGAAAGGGAATGTGGAAAAGGTAATTTATTTGCGGCAGTCACTTGGGGAGTTGTTTGTATGGTAGAGTTGTATCACATACTCCTTCAACGTAAGTAAATTCAGCTGTATGCACTTGACAGAAACAGAAAAAACCTGTAATTAAAAAGCCAAAATTAAATGTTGTATGTTTATTGTATTATATGTCGTAGATTACTGGTTATAGTCTATATTTACACATAAAGTACATGAAACAGTTCACAGTAGAGTATGCAAAATACAGGTGGACCTTTTTAGGGATTTTTCAAAAGACTATTTTCCATTTCCATGTTGAATGCTGTCTTTGGAATCTGGCCCTGCATAAGATACAGCCTCACTGTACTACGTGTGTGCTCCCCATCGAAGGAAACTGTCTACTAATTCCCTTAAGAAGATGAATAGCCTTTTATATAAATTTTCTCAGGAACAATTTTCTTCTGTACAAATGGGATCAAACATGTATTTTTCTTTGATTTACTTATTTTTCTACTTAAAATGTACCTTGGGTTTCGTTCCAGGTTAGTGTATCTAAATTTCACTCATTCTTTTTGATGGCTGGGCTCCATTACATGGGATGGATGCACTGCACTTTTAAATGCAGTCCACTGTTGTTAGAAATTTGGTGGCCGTAAGCAGTGCAGTCATAAACATGATTATGTGGATATTTCTGTGTATAAATGTGTGTGTGTGTGACATTCTGATCATTAGGGTTTTTAGGTCAAAGATGTTTGTATTTTGGTAAATTCTGACAGATTGCTTCCTAACTTAAGACTGTTTCACTTAAACTCTTACAAAGATGTAAGAAAACTTGTTTCCAGTGCCCTTTGCCCACTCTGGACATTTTCTGTTTTATTTTTGCCACTATCTTGGCTGAAAAATGATAATTTAGTTTTTAAGTTTAAATTTTTTAGTTTACAAATTTCTTTATATGTACATTTGTTACTTGTATATCTTTCTAATTTGCTTATTCATTTTTGACAATTTTCCCATTAAGTTTTTTGTCATTTTCTAGAAGATTTGATAAAATTGTCATGTGATGAGGGTTCTTTGCCTGTTATGTAGATGGTAATATCTTCTCCCAGTCTGTTCATTGCCTTTAACTTTGTTTAAGGTATATTTTGCCCTCTGAAACTTCTGATGTTTATCACCAGTCTTTTCTTAAAGGACTTGCACATTTTATTTCTATATTTCATCTTTATTCCCACATCATAAAGCTTCAGGACCCCCTCATAAAGTTAAACAAAGGGGAAGAAATTAACTGTATCATTGCACGTAAAGAAAGGAACATAGCATCATAATGAGTGATTTAATGAGTGGTGATTTTGTTCTTTTTGTATAAAGTATTTTATGTATTTTCCCATTAGGTTATTATTTCCTTGTGTTATATCTGGATGATCAGCTTTATGCAATTGACTTATAGGCACAAGAGGTATTTCGGAAATGCATTTCAGTTCAAGAAGAATGGAAACAGTTTCACCATCTCTGTTATTGGGAGCTGATGTGGATTAATATATTCCAGCAAAACTGGATGAAGGCGTATTACTATTCAGACCTGCTTTGCAAAGAGAGTAAATGGTCCAAGGTAGAGTGCAGTGCTTTTATTAATGTCAATCTATTTGCCAGTAAGTACACAGGACTTACTAGGACTGTTTGTTCAATAGTATGACATCAACATGATTTTCTCGACTTAGAGATCTGTCAAAGGAGGAAATGTGCATTCAGTTCCTCTTGTTTATAACTACTATCCTCAGCACTGTGTGATTTTAAAGCCATCCAAAGAGTCCTTTTCAATGGAGGCTTTACCTCTGAAGATTAACTGTGCTTATATTTAAAAGTTATTAAATATCGATGGCTTTGATAATTTTTTGTAGACTTTCCAATGCCCTGATGACAAAGGTTTTCATAATAATTAACATTGATTCTGATCTGTTTGTAAAAAGTTGGGAAGAGTGAGGTAATGATCTCTTGTTCATTTTGTCTGTTTTCTCACCATGATCACAATAGTTGTGTAACAGGAAAATGGTCAGAATTAAGTGAAAAGTGTTAATCTCAGATGGGACAGGGAATATAAGACTTCTATTTCTTTTATTTCTTTGATGCCTCTTAAGTAATTTATCTGGAAGATTTGTAGGTCATTCCTGATTGCAAGGTAGAAATGTCATGTACCTAGAGATCTTCTGTAACTAGATGCTGTTTTTCTCTTCCTCAAGGCAACATATGTGTTCTTGAAAGCTGCAATTTTGAGTATGCTTCCGGAGGAGGATGTAGCAGCAACTAATGAGAATGTGGTAACCTTATTCAGGTAAGCAGTACACTATTTCTATAACCAAGACCTTGAATATATAGAGGAGGACACAAATACATCTTATTTTTTTCTTAGTGCTCTCCCATGTTTTACCTTCATATTTCTTTATCTACTTACTTGATACAAGAACTCTCAAAAAATATATTTAGCTAAGAGTGAAAATGCCATCCTTTTAGCAAGATTATGCAGATATGCTGGTGTGATTGGGGATTTTGAGAACACATTATTTTTTGTTTTGTTTGGGGGCTTTGCTACTACATTTTGAAGAGTTTACTAAAATGGTATTGTTAGCAAAAGATGTTAACTATTGCTGTTAATCAAAGGTGTTCTGTGATCAGATAAACTTAAGAAATACAGTATACCATATCCTTAGTTTTCATTAGTGTGTCAAAGATTCTGGTAAGCTCTTCTGTGAAGTAATCTGTTTAACTCTGTTTAGACCAGTCTCCCTGCTTCCCTTCCTCCCTCCCTCCCTCCCTCCATCCATCCATCCATCCATCCATAACCTGTTTGATGAGCATGTGCTGTGCAAAGAGTCCTGTGTTAGGTGCTGAATAAATAGGTGTGGCTTCAGTCCGTGTAGAGTTTATAATCTTGTAGTGGGACTAGACATAGTGAAGTAATCACACAAACTATTGCAATATTACAATACATGACTGATTTTTTTCCCCTCATACTTCTCTCATCATTCCTTCTTAGTATCTTTGTAGGCCCATCCTACTTTAACCAGCTATTAAATGTTGGTGCTTTTTATTTCAAAGGTCAGAGTCTATACATTAGGAAGTCTCATCCCAGCCAAATTTATTTCTCTAGTTTAGACTTCATGACTGAGCTCTGAACCTCCCTGTACCTATCTCCCATTTGCCACCTTTACTTGGATATGTCAAAACATTTTAAACTCATCATGCTCAGCCTTCTCTAGCAACCTAGTGTTCTTTCTCTCAGTGATTGTGACCACCAGTTAGCAAGTCAGAAACCAATAGTGCTTGCATCACTGATACTACCCACTGTCCCTTCCCTCCCCAATGGGAGAAGAGGTATGTACAAGAGCATAGGAGGAATGATGGTTGAGAGGATGTTGGAAGCACAGCAGAAGCTGCAAGAGGCAGTGGGGAATTGCTGTGATGTGGGTTCAGACCGAGGGAGCAGCCTGTGAGGGGACCCTGCTGCAGCAAGGAGCACTGCGCACTTAAAGAACTAAAACAGTGGTGATACTTGAGAGATCGTGATGCTACATGTGTCTACATATAGGTCAAAGGAAAAGAATTTTCAAGGAGTACTCAAAACATCCCACAGAACAAGAATTCCATTTAAAAATAAGACAAAGTGTATATTTAGTGACACAGAGATTATTGCTAACCCTAGCAGGAGCTGAATAAGTAATAGAATGGAGGTAGAAATCAGATTGAATCAGATTGGAGTTGGCTAAAGAATGAATGAGAATTGAGAATAAATATAACTGGACAACTTTGAGTGTAAAGGGGAGGGAGAGAGTTGGAGGGAGATTTAATATTAGTATATTTTAATGGGAGAGATCAGCGCATTCTGAAAACCACTAGGAAGGATCCAGCTGACATAGAGAAGTTGCACATGCAAGTGAGAAATGGAACAATTCGTATTTGTAAGGTTCCTGAGAAGGCAGGAGCAGATAGAATCCAAAGCACTGACGTGTCAGAAGGGAGGGAGTAGAGAATATGTGCAGAGCTCATGGGTATTAGGCTATGGAGGTCTTCCTACCTCAGAGCTTCTGTTTTTCTCTATGATGTACGAGGCAGGGTTTTCTGTTGAGAGTGAAAGAGAAGGGAACAGGCTGGAGGTTTGAGGAGGATGGAGAATGTTTGAAGTCACTGTTACAGAGTGAGACAGTGAAGTGCTGAGAGACGGGGTGGGAATGACAAGTGGCAATGCCCATTTGAAGTTGGTTTGGATGAATTTATAGTTACGATGATATGCTGTCAGTGTAGGTGCAGGGAGGGTGGACAGTGAGCTTCATTCTGGGTTGGGTTTTCACCAAATTAGTGCAGCAACAAGGCAGTGGACAAGGACATAGGACATAGACCAGAAGGAGTAAAAGACAGGGCAATCTTAGCAGCGATATGAAGGGACTGGGAGAACAAAAGAGACTGCTGGATTGGGAGAAACTTGAAGGGCAGATGACCTGAGGTCTTATTATACAGCCAAGTTAGAATGAGGAGAATGATGTTCAAAGGGTGGTATGCTCGAATTCATGCTTTGAGGGAGAAAAGTCACAGGTGATCAAGTGACCTACGATAAGACCACAAGGGTGGGTAGCTGTGGCAGTAAGCAGATGACCGCTGGGGATGAGAGAGTTGAGGAATGGAGAAACCGTACCGCCTTCTTCAAATATAATTGATGACAAAACTATTTAAATGGACTGTAATTTTCTGTGACCACATTATGAGAAATAAGATCTTAGGTTAACCTTAAGAATTATCAGAACAAATTTGAAGGTATGACCAGAACCATTTTTTCATCTCCTTTCTAAAAGCTCTGTGTGAAAACAGGACCATGTTTACTAACTCTAGTGTCAACATCAGCAGAAGCAATGGTATGATAAATGCTACTTCTTACTGGTCGAGTGTACTTTCTCATTTCCCATGAACAACTAATGCAATAGAGTGGGATATTAAGATACATTGAAACTTTTACATTCCCTCTCTTTCCTCCACTTCAGAATATGTTGTTTTTTTCTATATCAAAACAACTTCTGTGAAACATGTAAGCCATCTTATTTTTAGGAGAAAGCCTGAGGTCTGCTGTGGTCTGCTGTCCACATCTAATTTGTTGGGACAATGACAGGAGAGTCCCCAAATGAATGCTTTCTTCACACACTCTCCGTGATCATTAAACCAGGAGGTTTTGTGTCCAGTGCATGCTTCTGACCTCTTCTCCCAACCTTATATTCCCGTTGCCTCTTCCACTGAGGTTAATGAACATCAAATCGTGGGCATTCTAGTTAAAATTCTTATCCCCCAATTGTGCCCCCAAATTATCTAGCACAATCTCATCCTCATATTTTGGACTATTTTTTCTCTTGTTTCATCTTTTTGTTTTCGTGAATTCTTTCTCAGCCACGTGTTTGATGCACTCACAAATTTATGTGCTTCAGGTAGGCACTGTGGGAACTGTCTCCCCGTCTTGCTGTCACGTCTGTGTGCTTGTGTGCTTCGTAACTGCAATTCCTTCGAGTCGTGAGAGGGAGTTTGTGAACACGGTGTCTGTCCTTAGCTGGTTATTTTCACAGTCACATATGCTTAGGAAACATTTTCTCAAATTATATGTTAACTGACAGTTATCCTTTGAGCCGTGTTACTTTATTGTAACTTCAGTGTCATACTTGCAGATGGGAATAAAAAATATACCAGTATATTCTCATACCTCTCTCTGAGTATTCATGACATAAGTAAATGCTTTGGAGGCTTTCCTGCTGACTTATGGAACTTGCCAATTTTATATCTAGATTTTTTTTTCTGTGTTTGATAGGTCAAGACATTGACTAAGTTAAATAGAAGGAAATATGTGGCAGACGGTAGTATTCAAACTTGAGCATGCATCAGAATCACCCGCAGACTCATTAAAATCCAGATTGCTGGGCCCAGCCCCAGGAGTTGCTGATTCATTAGGTTTGGGTGGAACCTGAAAATTTGCATTTGGAACAGGTTTGCAGGTGCTGCTGATGCTGCTGGTCTGGGGAACACAGTGTGAACACCACAGGGGTAGCTAGTGTCTGTGTTCTAATGGCCTTTCGCTGGGGCTGGGGCTCTTCACAGACAGGTGGACAGCTTGAAGCAGAGAATTGCTGGGAAATCTATTCCTACTGAGAAGTTTGCTGTGAGGAAGGCTCGACGTTACTCCTCCTTGTTGCCTGCACCTGTGAAGCTTGTCTTGCCTGCTCTGGTATCTACCTTTATTTATTTACTGTTTGTGTTTTAGAAGTAAATTGTCTATTCTTAGCAGCAGGGAGTATTAAAACTTTCCTTGTGAAGTTTAGCTCCATTAAAAACCATTGTAAGTGTGTCTGTAAGGTGAACATTCATAAATAACAAAAAACAAATATTACAGCAAATGTTTTTTGACTAGTTGGTATGTTCTACACACTATGATAAAGACTATTTAAAAATATGTTATTTAATTCTTACAGTAACTCTGAGGGTAATTTCTCTTTGTAGCCACATTTTATAGATAAGGAGATTCAGGTAGAATGAGGTGACTTGAATTAATTGAAATTGAGTTTAATTGTAATGCAAACCACATATGTAATTTTATCTTTCCTAAGAGGCCACATTAAAAATGAAAAGGTGAAAAACTAAACAGGAACAGGGAACATGAAAACGATTGCAAAGTGTTTAGTTTAATCCAGTATATACAGAATGTTGTTCTTTGGACACATAATCAACAAACATTTAATGAACACTTTGCATTCTTTTATATTGCACTAATTCTTTGAAATGTGGTGTGTATTTTATTCTCGGAGCCCATCTCAGCTCGGACGAACCGAGTGCCGGGGCTCAAGAGCCCCGAGTGGCTGGTGGCTGCTACACCTGGCAGCACCCTGCCCACTCTCATTTTCTTAGTTGTTAGACTGTGTAGGCTAGACTTCATAAAAACTGTAATTTCAACTTAGGTTTTCTTAATGAAGACTTCTTGAAAAATTACTGAATATATCAAATTACTGTGGCTTTTGGGGGCTTTAGATTTGCATAGGTGGTCCGAGAGCACAAGAAAGCTGCTTATTGCTTGCTGGCCTCTGCAGTCCTCCACTGGGCTTTCCTTATTCTTAAAAAGTTTTATTTTTTTGTATTTCAGAGTTTATTCACTTATTCCCCTTTGAAAGCTATTCAGTTTTTTTTCAAGTTTTTACTATTACAAACACGCTACAGTGTCTATTCTTCTGCATTCTTCTTTTTGTACATGGACATTTAATTCTCTGGGAAGGCTTTCTAGAATTGGAATTCCTGGTTTAGTGTATATGCATTTAATATTTTGACAGTGCCAAATTGCCCTCCAAAAAGGCTGAAGCAATTTAAATTTCTACCAACAGCGTTTTACTGTTTTAATTTGCATTTCCCTATTGGTACAGTTAAACATCTTTTTATGTGCTTATTCATTTTTCTTTCTTCTTTTGTGAATTGTTCATATACTTCCCTGATTTTTCACTGGGCTGTTTATTGTTTGATCATTGAGTGAGAGGGGCTATTTATGTGTGCCATGAGAAAGAAAACTGCAGCCCTTCCCAGACAACAAGAGCTGGCAAGCGGGCATGTAGCACCTAGGCCCAGGTGCTCCCTGCATCAGATGACCAACCTCAGGGCGCACCACCACCAGGGCAGGATATTCTGTCCTGTGGGCAACCAAATACAACCACTCTGTAATCATATCTGAGCACAGAGAAAAAGAAGAAAATCACAAACAGGACCAAATGTTCTTTCCCAGCTAATGTGGGAACCTACTGCCATTTTACCGATAGAGCTTTTAGTTCCATTCCCAATTCATTTCTATCACTGATTTGTGCTTGGAAACCTTTTCTTTCTGTGCCACAGAACTTTCCTAAAGATCCTCTAGAGCACCACAGTCTTCTCTCTGCCTTAGAACTTATAAGCCAGTTATTTCCTGCTTTGATTATTAAGGGTCTTAAGGCAGGTTAACTCACTGTACTTATTTCTCTACATCTAAAGGTGCACAATTGACTTGAGTTGTGGTAACTAGGAATTTTACCAAAATTGTATTTTTCATAAAATCTCAGATGCTTACTTGCCTTCTTCTGATAAAATATTTCATCAATAAAAACAAAATTTAGAGGTCATCGTTAATTAAAACAAATATTCCATTAGTTATGAATTAGTTGTTATGCTGTTAGCAACAGGAAACTGTTAGGTGTGAAATAAAGGGTACAGTGTGGTCATTGTGGTCTAACCTCAGTGCTGCAAAGTAAAGATGATTTGGTTGTCACTCTACTCAAATGCATTTTCCTCATTTCCACTGTTTCCCTGTCAGAGGTTGTTCAAATAATATCTTTATTATATTTTAAAATTTATTTATTTCTAAGAAGGTACTAATTACCCTGCTTTATTTCATGTCCTTCAAAATATGAACTACACTACCAGGAAGATTAGAAAAATATTTTCAAACAAAAACACATTTACTTTTGGTCCAATGAAAATTTTCATCCGTTAGCCTATTAAGTTTAATTTGCAATGATAAATCATTAGTCTACATTATCAGGGCTGTCATTCAGCCATATGGCCTTCGAATGAATATATTTTCTGCATATTGGATTGCATTACTGGACTGCCATGTATTTTAATGGTATAAAAGAACCTGAGCCCAGTAAAATATTTCTTATCTTCATTTCCAGTGATTTCCTTGAAAACAATTTATGTAAATAATTGGCAGATATTTTAAAATACTTTTCCTTTACTTAAACATAGCAAGAATTTATATTAAATAGACTTGTTCATGGTATCAGTTTAAAATACTACATTTATTTCTGTATCTGTAATCGATGATCTTCCAAGAGGATTGACCACCAGCAGATGCTTAATAAATATTTGTTAAGTGAATGAATAAATTAATTTTTCAATAAAAACATAGTATAGTATAATATTGAGTTACTTTACAGTATAAAATGCAAATGGCATGTAATAAAATGAGCAAGGGGGAATTTATATCACTAAACTCCAAATGAGATGCCTAGTAATTAAGGCAAATACACATTCGTAGTTTTGCTGTCATAAAGGACATTGAATAACCTCACACAGTTGCAAATGGCTTTTCATTCTTTCTCATTAGGAAATGATGTATGCCTGGAATGGTTTTCCAATAGTGGGCAAAAGAAAAGACCTTTCTGAAAATCTGTTGTTAACAATTGAAAAGGCTGAGGCAAATTTACAAAATGAAAGTAAGTATGAAAAGTAAAAGCCTGGAAATCTTTACCATTGTCACCCTCCCGTTCCATCCCTGTGCACATCTACCTGTGTTGCTCTCTGTGCACCCCGGGGACAAAGAGCCTGGGCTGCAGGTGTCCGGGTGAGTGCTATCGAGACAAAGGGAGGAATAACCCATGCTGCAAACCTGTGTGAGCCTTGGGGACATTAGGCTGAGTGAAAGAAGCCAGTTGCAAAAGGCTACATGATATATGATTCTATTTATATGAAATATTGACAATAGGGAAATCTGTAAAGACAGAAAGTAGATTAGTGGTTGCCAAGGGAGATAGAACTGGGGTGGGGGTGATGAAAATGTTCTAAGATTGATTGTGGTGATGGTTGTAGAACTCTGATATACTCAGTGAGTCATATGCTTTAAATGGTGCAACTGTGTGGTATGAGAATTATATGTTAATAAGTCTGTTACCAAAGAAAGGTGAAGGGGAGGAGGCAGTAAAGCTTTAGAACAGCACAAGGAAAGTGTGCATTTCTGATTTTAGTTTGTGTGTCGTTGTGTGCCACACTTTGATCTCACATGGCTGTCATGTTTTTGCAGACACAGAGAACTGTGTTCAGGTTGAAATCTTATCACAATTTATTTTTTTCATTCATTACTTTTGGTTGTACCAGAGGCCCCTCTGCAGTTGACTTGGAGGCTCCTTTCCTGGAAGCAGCTGGCCTATTAGTAGAAGGCAGATCAGGAGATCTGGGCTTAAAGCCCTAGCCCTGCCGTTGTGAGACTCTGGGAAACGCACCCCCTCACTCTGAGCCTCAGGTCTTTTTTACAGTGGGACTGGTGTCAGACCAGGTAATACCCAGGTTCTCTTGCTCTGACATTTTGTTCTTCTCTGTCTTAAACAGAGGCTTTCTTTTTTGATAAACCATGCCGTACATGCTAACCTCCAAATCATTTAGGTAACATGCCAAGATAATGGTCTTATCCTCTGGACTGTTCTAACCACAGAAGTAAAACGAAAACTTCTGTGGTGATAAACATGGAAAAGGACATAAAAATTCAGGAAGAGTCAGGGGAAGTTAAACGGTTAACTCATTTTTCTTAACTGGACAAAGATGGGCTGTGAGGGGACACTGGCCGCACGCACAATACCCAGTCCCAGTGGGGACATGTCAGTGACTGTGGCCCCAGTGATGAGGGCCTCATTTGGGTCACTTTTGTAGTTGGAGTTGCAGTAGGAGGCTGAAATGTTTAATGAGGGTTCTCTGTGCAATTTTTTAAAAAAAGATTTTGTCCATTATCTTTTTTTAGAGAGAGGGAAAGGGAAGGAGAGAGGGAGAGAAACATCAATGTGTGGTTGCCTCTTATGCGCCCCCCACTGGGGACCTGGCCTGCAACCCAGGCACGTGCTCCCACCAGGAATTGAACTGGCAACCCCCACCCCACCCGCCTGCCCACACACACACATACACACCTCTGCTCCTAGCCAGCATTCAATCCACTGAGCCACACCAGCCTAGGCTCTCTTTACAATTTTTAAGAAATAAACACATAATTATAATTGATAAAAATGAGAAAAGTCATCCATGTTTTTGCTACAACACAATTAATTTACAGTTTTGTGTATTCCATCCTAGCCTTATTTTTATAGTTATAATTGTAGTGTATGTAGACATATATTAGTCTAGTTTTTTTCATTTAATACATCATAAACATTTTTTAAATTGAGGTATGATTAACAGTAGTTTTAGGTGTACACCGTAATAATTTGATATTTGTATTCATTGCAAGATGATCATCACAGTAAGTCTAGTTAGTATCTGTCACCATAGATAGTTACAAATTTTTTTTCTTTTGATGATAACTTTTAAGATCTACTCTTTTAGCAACTTTTAAATGTGCGATACAGTCTTAATAATTATAGTCACCATGCTGTACATTGTATCCCCATGACTTACTATTTTAAATCCATTTTTTAAAAGATTTTTAAAATTTATTTTTAGAGAGAGGGGAAGGGAGGGAGAAAAAAAGGGAGAGGAACATCAATGTGAGAGAAAAATATTGATCAGTTGCCTCAGGCATGTGCCCTGACCTGGGACTGAACCTGCAACCCAGGCATGTGCCCTGAGTGGGAATCAAACTTGTGACTTTCCACTTTGTGGGCGATGATGTCCAGCTGAGTCACACTAGTCAGGGCATGACTTATTTATTTTATCACTGGAAGTTTGTACCTCTCCTCCCCTTCATCCCGACACCTGGTAACCACCTACCTGTTCTCTGTATCTAATGAGCATGGGGGCGGGGGTTTGATTCTACATGTAAGTGAGATTATACAGTATTTATCTTTATCTAATTTATTCCACTTAGGTCTCAAGGTGTCCATCTATGTTGTTGCAAATAGCAAAGTTTAATTCTTTTTAGGGTTGAATAATATTCTGTTGTATATATGTGTCACATTTTCTTAATTGGTTTCTCCATTGATGAACACAGGTTATTTCCATGTCTTTACTATTGTAAATAATGATGCAATGAACATGGGATCATATATGTAGGATTTATTGTTTTCATTTTCTTTGGATAGATACTTACAGTGGAATTTTTGGATCATATGGTAGTTTATTTTTATCATAAACTTTTTGATTGTTGCTAAAGAACCCCTACAATGGTTTCAAAAGCTTCATAGCTTTCCATGGAGTTAATGTATTATAATTTAATCAACTCCTTCAGTATTGTTGAGCATTTAGGCTGCTTTCCATGTTTAAGATAAATCCAGCTTAAGATTCCAATCAATCAGAAGAAACATGAAAGAATGAAAGCTGAATCAGTGGGCTTCTCTGCTAACAAGGTCAAGGTTTCAGGCTGGATAGTTAAAGAATCCAATAAAACAAAGAACAATGCTGTTCTGAGGCCACAGACACTCCTCCACATTAGCCATTTGTCAAATAGAAACTGGTGGTCACAGGGAGACCAGGTGAGTGGAATGTTCTCCACTATTGAAAAATGGTCACAATGCAAAGCTCATTTGTTGGTGGAGGGTGAATAAAGTAATCTTCCTTTATTTGTGGTTTTGCCTTCTACAATTTGTTACCTGTGGTCAATTATGGCTCAAAAAATATTAAATGGAAATTCCAGAAATAAAGAATTCGAAGTTGTACGAATTTGAATTTAAGTTGTACGTCATTCTGAGTTGCATGATGAGATCTCGCTCTGTCCTGGTCCATCCCGCCCAGGCAAGAATTATTCCTTTGTCCAATATGTCCACCTCACTTCAAGTCATCGCGTAGGCATTATGTCATCTCATGTCATTCTAACGAGGTGGGTGAGTACAGCACAGCTGAGAGAGAGAGACCACATTCACATAACTTTCATAACAGTGTAATAGTTCTGTTTTATTATTGTTATTAATTTCTCACTGTGCCTAATTTACACATTAAATTGTATCATAGGTATGTATATAGGAAAACACATGGTGTACCCAGGGTTTGGTACTAGCTGTAGTTTCAGTATCCACTGGGGGTCTTGCACCATATGCCCTGCAGGTCAGGAGGGACTACTATAATGTCACCTACCCATATTAAAGGCAGCATTTTTATAAAGAAACATGGTCCGCTTTTCCTTCCCCTTTTACAGAAAAGTTATAACACTTCAGCCCCTAACGAGCTGGAGCTGAGGTAGAGAAGCCAAAATATTGAAGTGTTCATCTTCACAGACTGACAACTCCCTTTGATTTCTGGGCACCAGGGAAACAAGCGGATAAGAAGTCTCAAGAAACAGGGATCAGAAAGAGGAGTCAAAAGTTTTCGTTCTTTTACAGACAACCAATGGAGCGTATGTATAAGTACTGACTACAGACTCACTGTGTGGACATTTCAGACTTCTTTGTCTGTTGTCCTAGAAGTTCTGTCACTGACATATTTCCTGTATAGTTTTTATTAGCCTAGAGTTGTGATAAGCTTCCCAACTATTTTAAAATAAGTGTATCTTTTCAATTTTTATTTTTTTAGTATTAAAGTGCACATAAAATTTACCATGTTAACCATTTTTATTATACTGTTCAGTAGTGCTAAGTGTGTTCACATGGCTGTGCCACCAGTCTCCAGAACGTTCTCATACCTGTTAAACAATAACTCCCCATTTCCCTGACCCCCAGCCCTTGGCAACCACTATTTTATTTTTTGTTACTATGAATGTGACTATTCTGGAGTCTTCGTATAAGTGGCTTATTTCACTTAGCATGATGTCCTCAAGGTATGTCCATGTTGTACCATGTCAGAATTTCCTTCTTTTTAAATGCTTCCATTAGTGTATATACCACATTTTATTTATCCATTTACCCATCAATGCACATTTGGGTTACTTCCACCTTTTGGCTGTTGTGAATAGTACTTATATAAACGTGGGTATACATGTATTTTTTGAGATCTTGCTTTCAATTCTTTTAGCTATATGCCCAGAAGTGGAATCTCTGGGCCATATGACATTTCTATTTTTAATTTTTTGAGGAACTACCACACTATTTTCTATAGCAGCTGCACCATTGTACGTTCCCACCAACAGTGCACAAGTGTCCCAATTTCTCTACTTCTTTGCCGACACTTGTTTTTCTGCTTTGTTTTTGTTTTTGTGGTAGTCATCTTAATGAGTGTGAGGTGACCTTTACCATTTTTCATGTGAAATAATTTCAAGAAGAAAAAATATTTTGTTTTGAGTGAAAAATAAAGTCACATAATTTTTAATTTAAATGTAAGTTCACCTTAAAAATGAGATTTCACAAAATGCACTTCTGTAAAATCTATTTGGGCTTTTGAGGAAATATATTAGTATTCATTTTTGTTCAACTAATTTGACCCCCTTCCATTAATTTACTCATTTGAACAATCTTAGATTTCTCTGCTAGATGTAGAATTATGATAGACAGAGAAAGCATTTGTTTCTGCTATTAAGGAAATTATTTATGATTAATTTCCACATATTCACAAACTAAATGGAAAAATGAATACTTTTTAAATAAGTGGATATATGAAAACTGGAAAGTAAAGGAAAATCCCTTTTTATTAAGTGGAAATATTTGTAGTATATTCCTTCTCCCAGAAAAGTAGGCCAACTTGCTTTTCTCTTTCTATAAAGAAAAGGCTTTGGGTTTGGTAGAATAAATCCTGATGTTCGAATGTCCACCCTTTTAGTGTAGACTAAACTGTACCACCAGAGTGGGGCCTTTGTATATTAAAAAGCCCTGAAGGTCCGTTGGGTTTTCTCCCTTCTTCAAGGGTCCCTTTGAGTGGGCCCTTGTCCTCCCATCCCTGAGTTTATCTTGCCCCTCCATTGATTGGGGGGAAAATCAAGGGGTAATATAGGTATCAGACAATGCATGTAAAATGCAGTAGAGGTTTAGAAAACCAAGACACTGTCTCCCTCTATTCCTTCCTCTTTTAATGGCATGTTGAGATGATAGGCTTAGAGATATTTAAGCAGGACCAGGGGAAGCTCAGACACACACACACCATATTTCGTAAAATTCTGTCTTTGTATGTCTTCTCCTGGGTAAAAAACGCTGTTTTTTTTTTTTTCTGAAGAACCCCTTTGCCAGATGTTACACATAAAATCTATGATGATTTCTTCCAAGTCCATTGTTTTATGCAGGAAGATTACCCAACACCCAGATCTCTTCTTGCCCCAGTTTTTATGACCTTTGAGTAGTTAGATTTTTTTTTCCTTCAGGATGAGGGGAAGTGGACAAACTTGAAAAATGGAATTAAGTTGTAAACCTGAAGTTACCCCCTCTTCCTCACCACCTTTTTATTAGTAATTGAATCTATTTTTGCTTCTACCTTTGGTAGGTGTCTTTAAAATAAAAGATGGGAACGTGTACAATTGACGTCATATTCTGACAGTGCCGTAGTTCTGAGAGGCTGTCCTGGACACCAAGGAGAAATGCTGTTTGAGGAGAGGAAAATACTTGGTGTAATATGACTGGAGTCAGTGTTTGCTGCTAATTCCATTAGCGTTTCATTTGAAATCTAACTAAATTCCAACATGCAGTTAGGAGTTAGTACAGTAGCTCTTTTTGACTCTTAGTTGTGCTTAACTTGCCTGGTGAAATTGTACGGCAGAACATGAGAGTTACATAAAAGGGAGAGTGCTGTTCATTTCATGGCTTTTCACTTTCTAAATCTATTTTCAGTATTTTTCTTTGGTGTATTCAACTAGCTTCTAAAATGTTCAATGTAGATATTTTTGTAGTGTGCGCCTCAAATTTCTTTTCTTTCCACCTACCCTCTGTTTTATTAAGTGCAGAGCTTTTGTAATGAAAATGTGCTTTCTTGGAATGTAAAATGGAAACTTAAAATGTTCATCCGTGAAATCACCCATGAGCTGGAGAATCATGATAAACATACATTTTAAGAGAAATAATCATCTGACAAGTAGTGCTCGGTAGTCTGAAGGATTAAATGGTTTTGTTTTCTAAGGTTTTTGGAGGAATATTGGTGTTTTTGGACCTGTTTTCCATATTCTTAACTCATGATCAAAATAAAAGCTAAATGTGGCTTTACTGGTACTGAAGCTTTGCATGATGTTATGTCTGCCCTTCTCAGCAAAATCATCATTCATTGAGCGCCAGCGTTTTGTGATAACACAGGCTGTCTTGAAAGTCCTACACAGAACTCAATAAAATGCATAAAAATGATACTGAAAACTAGCATCTAGCATGTACCCTAAGGGTTTGGTTCTAGGCCTGAAAGATGTCTAGAATGCATATTTCTTCTTGATTGCATATTTTCCATGAGTATCCATGATTAGAAGCATGAATAGGTTTTCTTCTTTTGGTAGAAATAATGGTCCTTAAGTAATAGGAAAGGAAATGTGGTATTGATATCTGTGATTTTCTTGGTGAATGACCTATTAGATATTAGAGCTTGGAAGCGAGAGGTGACTATCAGCTGTTTTTGGCACCTGGGGAAAAAGGGGCCTCTTCTAGTTGCTAATGTAGCACCGTTAACCTCCCATAGACAAGCACACTAAAACACCAGCATGTGCCAGTGGTGTTCTCTGAGGTTTGTTCTGAAAGCAGGAGGGCTTCAGTATGAGAGGCTCCCAGGGCCTCATTAGTTTGGTTTGCAGGGCCTCCCCTCACCTTGACCCCCACCCTCCTGTGTTGTCATAGCCTGAAGTGAATAATTTACCAGTCTGTCTTGGAATGACTTCTTAGTTGTACCAAACTTACAAACCCCCTCAATTCAAAAGTGGTTGATGTGAAATGGCTACCTTTGTCACATAGATGTCACATACATTATGGCTCCTTCTGTTTCATATCCCACAGCCTTGGGCTGTAGGAGGCAGAATCATTTTCCACAGGGAAAATGGTGAAAGGAAAGCCTTTCCATTAGCTCCAAGCAGTTAGAAGTGTGTGAGGACCTGAGGTACCTGCATGTACTTCAGAACCTTTTTATCTAATTTTATGATATAATTTCCTCCCAAAAGAACACAGCCTGGGAGAATTGATAAGTTATAAACATAATGATCTGGAGAGGGCATTCTGCTTCCTGAATTTTTAATGGGTAGAAGGCCATCTGCTTCTCCATATGGAAGTGCTATCCTCATCCTCATGAAGCCAACACAATTAGAAGCCAGAACCACAGGAGGAGGCAGCCTTCTTGCTCCTCATGGCTTTACTTTTATAGAATTAATAAAGCTCTTACTTTATTTAAAGTTCAGATACTCTGCTGTTTTACTAAGGCCACATAACTCAGAGTATGAGCCCCTGAAAAAAATGTTTTAAGAGAACGAAGTGAACCCTTAGTAAAATAGTATACTAAACTAATGTAGTAAATTCAATATTCTATTAATTTAATTTTATTGTATTTTGTTTAGTGAGGCATAGGGAATGCTAAAAATCTTTTCCTTATTTTTAAATGATTCCTCTGAAACCTAATAGCTATGATCAGTTCTTACCTCTTAATTAAGGTTTTAAAAAACTGTTTTTGTTTTTGTGTGTTATTTTTGTTTGTTTTGATGTAAGACTTCAGCGATTACACGGTGGATGATGAGTGCTTGGTGAAGCTGCTGAAAGGATGCTGCCTGAAGAACTTACAGCGGCCCTTGCAAGCGGAATTGTGTTTCAGTCACGTTATCCAGAGGTGAAAACAAGCAGGGGCACCAACCTGAGTGCAGACAGTGTCTTCCGGGGGATTACTGTGAGAAAGTAGTTTCTCTTGCTGCTATCCTTTTGCTTGCTGTTACCAGAAACAGAATCCAGTTGTGTCTTCTCTGTTCTTTGAGAACAAAATTATAATCTAAGGGAAGCATGGCTTTGTGCATTTGAACTTGATGTTTAAAGCTGACACACAAAACTAGATTTATGGCTAAGCTGACGGCTATCTAACTACATTCTGGCAGCAATGTGCTGACCCTCTGATGCTTTCTTGACTCCTGCATTAGTTTTTCCATTTATTTAGTCCACAGATATTTGGGCACTCACTGTGTGCTAGAGTCTGTACTATGTCCTAGGGATTCAGAGTTGAGTGAAGAGACTTGCTCTCATTGTGGTAATAATTTGGCAGGGAAGAAAGACATGAGGTGAACACCATAACTGCTTCTCGTTTGGCAAAAGGTTTCTCTCCTGTAAACACATGAGGGTTTTTTTCTCCTCTCTAACTGCATTGATGGTGTCCTTCTTTGCTAAACAGAGAGTTGAGTCAAGGTTCAGATACCTGGCTTTCTTCTCTATATCTGGAGTCATAAGTGCAAACATCTGCAGGGGCCAGACAAGACGCCTCACCAAGTGCTGGCAGGAGTAAGGGATTGGTGGGCACTGTAGACTCAGGAGCTCATGTGTTCTCTCTAAAGAAGGCAGCCAATCCTTAGCTCTAATTGGTTATTGCTCTGTACAATGTAGGCCCAGTAGCAATAATCCCTACAATTTTTCATGAAAAGCCTGGACTCTGGATTTTATGTAAAATCTTCTGATTTTAAATATTGATTCAAATTTTTTTAAAGCAGTGTCAGTTGACTAGATCACAGCCCCAGAATGCCAGTTGACAGCCTCTGTTCCACATCATATGCTTCTCCACCTATGGTGACCCATTTCCTTTCTGAGACTGTAGGAGGACTGGTGTTCTTATGTAAGGAGGAATAAGACCATCTCTATTTCCCAAACAAGTAATACACTTATTATTTTTAGTAAACAGGTTAAGGACATATCCGTTCAGTTCTGTTTTATTGGTGTTTTTACAAGGATCAAAAGGATTACCAAAAGGACTACATTTTTTGCTATTTTTTAACGATAGTGAACTGTTTGCTTTTGTGTTTTATAATTTTGGATTTTGAGTTTTTCTTCTTAGACATTTTATCTTGAGACTCTTAGAGACTAGGAATGAGGAAGAGTCTCACTGAAATCACTTCGATTTTCTTCCTGCCGGGTGACCCAAACACTTTTCAGCCCAGAACCACATTCATGTTTATCTCATTGCTTAGAGGCTCTTGGATCCTTGGGGCAATGTAAATTTAAATTGCAAATTCATGTGAGGACAGGCCTATTGGTTATTAATTTAGTGACAGGAATGTGTTTTCACTTCCCACCAAGAGCACAGGCCAAGGAGCCAACTGCCCATGTTTTCGTCCTGTGCCAGAGATTGGGTGTTTCCTAATCTGCCCTTTCTCTGAGGCAGCGACCTTTCAAGGGCCCCAACTCACACACAAGTCTCAGTCCCGACCCCTTGTCCTATGTGGCCCCAAGGCTTCATCTCTGTCACGGCCACTGAAACTCAAAGCCCTGGGTGATTCAGACTGAAGTGGGTGGACCCTAGGGCTGCTTGGGCATCCCACACACACTCAGAGTTCTGGTTTTGTTTTGTTTTCAGTTCGAGAGTTTTTCTTACATTCACGTGAGCTGAGCTGTGCATTTGAAAATATGTTGTTCATACATTTTTAGTGCTTCTAGATGTTTTGTCATCAGAGGGTTTTTATATTATTGCTGAAAACAGAAATATTGACCACTTCTTACTGACATTTTTTTAGCATTAAAAGACTTAACAATACGAATTGAAGTGAACCCTAGCAAAATAGTAGTATAGCATTCAGCATTCTTATTTTTAAGTGGAACACATTTATGTTCAGGAGGATGATCTTGTCCTTTCAGGATTAATCTTGGAAGATCTGCATGTATTCATATACCTAAGAGGCAATAAACAATCCTCAATGCTGGTCCAGTATATATTAAGGAATAAAATAAGAGATTAATATATTAAAAGCATACTATTTATTGCCATAGTTTATGAGATCCTTTGAATAAACTTTGTAAAACAACTGTTTTTCTCTGATAATAGTGCTGCTAAGCACCTATTTTATGAGAAATGGGGAAATATATATATTGAAAAAGAATGATTCCTTTCTTGTTCTGTTAAGACTTGCTTTGCTTTTTTTTTCTTTATTTTTACTGTTGACCTTCTTAAGACTTAATTGCTTTTCATTCATTGTTGCAGTGAAAGGCTACTGAAGTTTGACCACTACCTCGTGCCATTTACTCTGTTTGAGTTGGCGTGTTTGTACAAAAGCCAAGGGGAGATTGATAAGGCCGTAAAGGCTCTGGAAACTGCGAGGTGAGTGGTGAGGACAGCTTTCCCTCCTTTGCCATGGTGGCAGGGAGGTCAGCAGCGTTATAATAACAGTGACAGTATGTACATACCTAAAAGTTAACCCGTGAATGAAAGTTAGTAACAATGTTACCTTTGCTAACTTACGCTTAGCGTATGCCCATGCCTTCTGCTGTGACTGTGCTGTTTCCAGCCTTCTGAATGCCTGACTCCGTGACTCTTTACAGATGTTGTGACTGTGGGCTTCTGTACGGCAGATATCTAACCTAGTCTATCCTAGATCAGAGGTTGGCAGACATTTTCTGTTAAGGGCCAAAAATAGTAAGCATTTTTGGCTTTACAGTATAAGGTCTCCATTGCAACTACTCCACTGTATCGAAAGCAGCCATAGAAGAGAAATCAATTAGTCCATCCATCAATCAATGGGTGTGTCCAGATTTGGCTGTAATTTTGATAATAATTTGCTGACCTTGGTGTATTCAACCATATATCTCCTTTCCTTAAAGACCCACTGAATTGAAGAAGCCCTTTGAATCTTCCCAGGACTCTGTGCTTTTTGTCTGCTGTGGCAATTGCAAAGCACTCCATCATTTCTGCTAGACAGTGGCTCACAGCCTTGTGGTCATGGCCCCCTTGGTGGGGCCCAAACCTAGTGGTCTGTTCATCTTGAACACTTCTTGCAGTGGATAAAGAACACCATTTTTAGCTCTAGGCCATAAGTCACTTTGTGGTTCATTTGTTCATTTATTCAAGTTCAGCAAGTATTCACTGAGCACCTCTAATGTGCCAAGGCCCTAGTAAAGGCTCTGGACAGACAGCTGCACAAGAACAGGCAATGTTCCTGCTCTCTTAGTTGAAGGGAGCTATCAAAGAAGCAAGTAAAAAACCACAGCAGTGGAATGTACTTTGCTGAGATTTACACTCTGATACAAACTACCTGGCTGTTGTTTTAGATGGGGTTGATTCCAGAAGGTTTCTTTGAGGAATTGGTATTGTAGTTGATATTTGCATAATTAAAGCCAGTCCTGAGATCAGTCAGCAGGAGACTGCCTGGAGAATGTTCCTGGCTGAAGCCACAGTTAAGTAACCTCTAGATTGGGGGTTGAGCCACTAGATCGGTAATGATGTTTTTTACTCAGATGGGGAATGCTTAGAGGAGCAGGTTTGGGGACAGAGAAAAGCCAGTTTCTATTTGAACCATGATATTTTGAGATGCCTCCTAGGTACCCACATGGAGACAGTAAGTTGACAGCCAACTGTGGAAGCATGGATTTCATTGGAAAAGAAAAGGACAAGTGTGCAGATTTCAAAGTCACCAGCACAGACACAGTGACGTTTGAAGCCATGATACTTGATGAGATTGTTTTGGGAAACTTACTAGAGAGAGAGAGAGGGAGGGAGGGGGAGGGAGGGAGAGAGAGGTGCAGCACAGAGCCTTGGGGCATGCTATCATTTTAATGAGAATGAACAATGAGAATAGGAAGAAATAGCCATTGAGTCAGAACAACATCCAGGAAAGCCAAGTGAACAAGGTGTTTCAAAAGAAGAGAGTTGTCATTTGTAAAGGTAGCTGCTGAGAGGTCAAGCAAGGTGAGACTAGAGCAGTGAACTTGACCACATGAAGATCATTGGTGACTTTGGCAAGTAAGGTGAGAAAGCAGAGCCAGCTATTTAGGGAACTCTTTCAGGATGTTTCTCTGTGAATAAAACACAGTGAGGGGGCAGAAGCTTCAGGAGCATGGTGGAGCCAAGAAAGTCACCGTCTTTTTTTTTTTTTTCACCTTCTCCTTTTTGCCTTCCTACCTTCTCTTATGCCTCTTCTACTTCTTTTTCTCCTCCTCCCCCTTCTTGTTAATGGGAGATATGAAAACAAATCACTTTTAAAGCTAATTTGTTAAGAATGATAATGACTCATTTCAACTGACGTGTATGTGTCATCAAATGTAGCTGATGGAAAATTAGGAACTCTAAATACTGTTGTTCCAAGTATTTGTTATTTGGTCATATTTAGAGTTACTTAAGCAATGCACAGTAAGGCAAATTTATAATGATGAAAATAAAAGAGTAGTCTAAATTCACTACTAAGAAACAAGACCAGTGTGATCAAGTCACCGCTAACTCAAGCCAGTGCTGATGGTGCATAAGTAGACTTCCCAATGGTTTTAAGACCGTCAACTGCCTGCAGTTTCCATTTGCAGTTGCCAAAATTAGTGGCCAGATATTTAAGAAAACACTCAATTACATCCTTTGGTGAACCTCTAGTAAGATGTTGATTTAGCTTATGAATAATAACCCTTATCGTGAATAATAATCCTTTCAGGTTTATCAGTAAGTAGTACTTATACCTGTATAAAATGAAGGGCTACAGAAAGAAACAAATACCGCTGCAAAGAAAGAAGTCACAGCTCACCCAGGGGCCAGAGCATAGTGTGAAAACAGGCGCCTGAGGTTGGAGCTATTCCGTTCTGACCCTTCTTGACAGTTCTAGCAAAGAGAATCATGAATGATCTAAGTGAAGCTTTTATATAATCTGTGGGTTTTAATGGCCTGGCCCTTTCTAACGCTGTCACACAATAATTATTGGCCACACCATTGATATCTGCTTGTGGAAACTGGAGTAATTTTGGTATCACTAAGGAATCCTGCTGTCTTTGTGGTGGTGGTTGTTTTACGGGGTTTTCAAGGTAAATTTTGTAGGGATTGTGCTTGATCATGTTTGCCATGTTTATCTGATGTTGCTTTAACATTTCCAGTTTACAAAAGGAGGTCAACTTTTTAAGAGTAGCTCACAAAATTGTCAAACCCTCCTCGTAACCTTGCTGTGTTTGTGAATGGGTTGGTGATTAAGCAGAACATTGGTGTGCAAACTGTGACTTTTAGGTCATCGCCAGCAAGTATCTAGGATTAAAGAATATTGCCATCCTCCTTTCCTCACAGAACATAATCTACATTTTAACAACACCCACTGTTCCACAAATTCAAGTCTGAAGGCAGATGAAGATGGGAGGACAAGGGAGGGTGGTGGCGGTGCTCTGACGTACAAGAAATTTTATAATGTTATTGGTCTTGCCTTTAGGAACAACTACAAAGACTACTCCATGGAGTCTAGACTGCACTTCAGAATTCAGGCAGCTCTTCACCTCTGGAGAAAACCTTCCTCAGACTGATGAGGACGTAAAGGATGGAACTTCCCCTCCATTAACACCAACACCTGCTATAGATTAGACCTTGTATTAAAGTGGAAAAGTGATCTTGTGAACGAGAGACAAAAAATTAATTTTTTTATCAATATTTTTGATCATTTATGTGGTTTACTGTTGTTCTATGTGAAAGTTGTTTTGTTTTTCCCTATGGAATAGCGATCAGTACTATCTAGAAAATTCTTATATTTTGCCTCTCCAAGAATTTCATATTAGACTTAAATTGGAGAGTGAAGAAGTCTTTTAAATGACTCAAAGGTACAACAAAGTCTAATTAGATTATTTATTTATTTTTTTAGTATGGAAATTAATACTGTTTAAGTAGCACATGGCTTACAAGTTAAGCCATTTTTAGATCTGTTTGTCAGTTAAACTTAAGAGTTATTTTGTTGCCTACTATTTAAATTTAAGAGGGGAAATAAAATCAGTTACATTCAAAATAGCTTAATCTTCTGAAGACTCCTGAAAAAGACAGGCAGTGGGTGTGAGCAGGGATGGGATAATGTAGTTAATAGGTCAAAAAGACCCATGTCTAGCAAAGATGGTGGCATATTGTTAGTTTTCTTAATTCTTCATGTAAGTTAAAAGTGGTGACATTTTTGAGAGACTGTCTTGTTTTTGAATGTACTCATTAAGCCTAGTATAATAACAAAATTTTAAAAAGTGTGTAAAGGGAAGAAAAAGTTATATTTTAGACATTATCCTTAGCAGTGAGAGCCTCAAATATATACATTGATTATTTTTCTTAGAGAAAGCAAAGTTCCTGCTGCTTTAAATATGTAAAATATTGATAATTTTTACACTCGTGATGTTGGTGAGCGAGATCTAATTTCCTAGTTTCTCTAGCACTGTGATGGCTCCTTGTAAATACCTGGGCTGTGTTTGGTCCTGTGAATTGGAAACACGGTCAGGACACTGAGTGGAAGAGAGCCCAACTCTGTGGTCCCGGCCCTGCTGCCGGTTCCGAGCCACCAGAATGACCTTGATGGAGCCCCCTGCTCTCTGCACCCCCACACTCTCCTTATTGGAGACATGGAAGAAGAACAGATGATTACCAAGGTCTCCTTCAGTTTTATAACCATCAGTATTTTAGGTATTCATTTGCAGTGGACAATGTTAAATGTTTAATCCAAATCACTCCCACTTGGAGTATGTTTTTAGTTTGTGGTCCTCACGGTCTCTACCCCCAAACCCCCAAATATGATCTTTTGTGACTAAGGACCTGCTTATATCCAGAGTGAAGAAAAAAATTTGTGATCAATGAATCAGGGTTTTGTCCTATTTCTGCTTCTATTTTGAAGAATAACTTGCCATAAAAGCCTGTGCAGTTTAACAGAAGTAGCCCCAGACCGAGAGTCAGGAGCCCATCCCTGCCAGACCCTGACGTGCAGAAAGTCATCACCTTTGTGTTTACTCATGTGTGTGGTGCTGACGGTGGCCCAGGTCATGAATTTATTTCCTGCTACATGAGCCTGTCTGCAGCAGATGTTTGCCTTGGTTTCATTAAGGTGTTAACTCTCGACCGGTACTGAGGATGTATTTCCAATGGAAGATATTAATACAGTTCAAGCAGAGTACCACCCGTGCGGATGGTATGGTGAAGATCTCAGTATGTGCTCTTAATATAAACCGTGTAACTTCACTGTAGGTCTGGACAAAAGAGGAAATAAAATAAACTGTTGTCACAACTAGTAGTGGAAAGTATGTTTAATAATTATTTTTTATATAACTTTGAAAAAAGCTCGTCAATTATTTAGAACAGCTTTGGTAACATTATTTTTTTTACAGACACCCACATTGCTTTTGTGAGAAGCTGCAAGTCAGAGCAAAAGCCAGTAAAAAATTCTCTTTCTGGTATAAAGCTTGTGTCTTGTATAAATTGTGTGTCACCCACACAATTTAAGCTAATACTGGTTATTTTTATTTTATTTTAGCTCTGCATTATAAACAAATATAAAAGTAACTCATATCTATTTAAAATATCACTTATGTTTCTTATTTTTCTTCCTATTTTTTTTATAGTTAACTGGTAATATGGATAACCTATCCAGTGGGTTTTTAAGTGCTGTAACATCCCTAATGCTACAAGTATTAATCTGTTGCCTGCCATGTTTAAGATGTTTTGGTGACATTGGTTTCTTGTAACATCAGCTCATATTGTATTTTTGGAGATATTTTGTGACTCAGGCTGTTCTGTGTAGAATAGTACTGAAGTGACAATGTTTTATCTAATGTTTTGAGGGGCATATGTGGTAGAGTTGGGCTGCCAATGTGTCTGACAGTTTGTGTAGTTCTTGGTATAATTGCCTTTTTTTTTTAAATGGAGAACCAGAGTTCTGATTGGTGCTGTATAAATTTAAGTCTGAAATAGAGGCTATGTTTTGTAGGATGGTGACAATGAAGGTGTGACTTCTGCTTGGCAACTAATGGAAGATTAACTACATCAGCTCTCTTACGGACATATATTTTAATGTTTTTGTGCTTCCTCTGGATACAAGAAGGTCCCAAGTTTCATTGGAAAATGGAGTCCATTGAGTCTCTGTCTCTTCTGTGAGTAGGTCCAAACTGTAGGAAGATGAATTCTAGATCAATCAGCTTCAAAGAAGATTTTAAATCATTGAAACAATCCAACAGTGTAACCATCTCTTTTGCAAAGTTGTAGTTTAGCAGAGCTAGTACAGGTAATACAGATAGATAATACAGATAGATATAATACAGATAGATAAGTAGAAAATAGCTTACAAGTAGCAAATAGACAATACTTTATATTATTCTTTCAGAACGAGTGCAGGCTTTTCTCCAGATTGTTTCCCCTCCCCCAGACCAATTTACATAGTTTTCTTTGTCAAAGTGCTTGATGTGAAACCCAATTCCTGCTTCTCATTGTTGGCAGTTTTGTCTTTTGTATATCTTCTGTTAAATTTAGTTGCTTCAGAATGTTGAACTTGAAACAATGAAATGAAAAGGACACATTAGAAATTTTCGTGAGGGAGAATATCTTCTGTGCTGAGCAGTTGCTCTCTGCCCTTGATGGGGGAGAAGTCCATGCCAGTCTGTTTACATTGTCACAGCTACAGAAAGAGTAGGTACCAGGACTGTTCAGTGGATTGAAGAGACTGAGCAGGTTCTTGGCCTGACCCATCCAGAGGGTATGTGGGTCTCACTTCAGAGGGCGTCTGTGCCCCATTCTGTGCAGGCTGCAGTTACACTGCAGTGTGACTACACAGGAAAACCAGAGTAGCCACCCCGTTGTGGGTAACTAACAGAGAATTCAGACAGATTCCTACAAATTGGGTATTTACTAGGAAAACTCAAGCAAGATATTGAATACCAAGCTTCGTTAAGTAAGACTCGTTGCATATTAATATACAATATACTTTTGTGTGTTCATCCAGTAGTTCTTAGAAACTCATCATTTAAAAGATGAGTGTGAGGGATGCTGGCATGCCAGGGCGGGAACTTCTGTTTTATTGCTACTTAATGTTTTCTAGTATATTGTTTTTAATTATCAGCCTGTCTGGCACCACTTGGGGGGAAAAAGTGGTCTCAGTGTAACAACTGATAGCCAGAGAAGTTGGATAAAATGTGCACATTAAAGAATATTACCCACCATTTCAGTTTTAAAGGAATTACATTATTTTGTAATGCTGGAATGTCTTTCTCAATTAAAAGGGATGACTCCCTGCTTCATAAATCATGCAGACATTTTTTTAAAACATTGAATTTATTGGGGTGACACTGGTTAATAAAATGACAAGTTTCAGGTGTACGATTCTATACTACATCATCCGTGTATTGTGTTGTGTGTTCACCACCCCAAGTGAAGTTTTCCAGCACCATTTATCCCCTGTATGCCCTCTTACCTCTCCTCACCCTCCTTGCCCTCTGGTAATCACCGTACTATTGCCTATATCTATGAAGTTTTGTTTTTTGTTTTTTTTTGTTTGTTTGTTTTTGCTCAAACCCTTCACCTTTTCTACCCAGACCCCCAACCCTTCTCCCCTCTGACAGCTGTCAGTCTCTTGTTTTCTATGAGTCTGTTTGTTAGTTTATTTTGTTCATTAGAGTCCACTTAAGAGTGCAATCATATGGTATTTGTCTTTCTCTGACTGGCTTATTTCACTTAGCAGAATGCTATCCAGATCCATCCATGCCTCTTTTTTATGGCTGAGTAGTAATTCATTGTGTAATTGCACCACAGTTGTTTTTCCCCCCTGCTTATCTGCTGATTGATGGACACTTGGGCTGTTTCCAGATCTTGGCTATTGTAAATGATGCTGCAATGAACATATAGGTGCATGTAGTCTCTCGAATCAGTGTTTTGGGTTTCTTTGGGTATATTCACAGAAGTGGAATTTCCGGGTCGTAAGGCAGTTACATTTTTAATTTTTTGAGGTAACTCTGTAACTTTTTCCCATAGTGGCTGCACAATGTATTCCCACCAACAATGCACAAGGGTTTCCCTTCTCCTCCTCCTCCTCTCCAGGATTGTTTATTGATTTACTGATGGTGGCCATTCTGACAGGTGGGAGGTGACATATCTCATTGTGGTTTTAATTTGCATCTCTCTGATGATTACTGACGTTGAGCATCTTTTCATGTGTCCATTGGCTGTCTGTATGTTCTCTTTGGAGGAGTGTTTTTTCAGGTCTTTTACCCCTTTTTTTAATTGAATTTTTTTTTTGGTGTTGAATTTTACAAGTTCTTTATAAATTTTGGATATATCATTAGCAAATGTGTTCTCCCATTCAGTGGGTCGTCTTTCCATTTTGTTGATGTTTTTGCTTTGCAACAGATCTTTTCATTCTTTCTTGTTATTGTTGGAGTCAAGTGTTCCAGTGGCAGTTTTGGGTGTAGCAAATGAGTTAACAGCTTTCATTAATCACTTTTTTCCTGAAGTGATTTAATTATTTATAGTGGACAGTTGCTTTCTCTACAGTGATTTGTTTGTTTGTTCTGAAAATGATTTACATGAAGAGAGAGATTATGGTAAACATTGGAAATCTTAGGCTATTTGTTTAGTCTTAAAAAACAGTGCTGTTGGTTTCTGTTTCACAAAGATTCACAGAAGAATGAGTGTGTCTCACTGACAGGTGCTGTCCAGAAAAATCTCTCAGTTCTCAGCAATTCTACGTTCTCATGATGTCTTAGAGGAAGTTTTTGTAACTGAGTAGTTTATTTATTTTTCCCCTTTGCTACCTATTGACATTCAGATACCTGAATGAATATGAGCTGACTTATTTATATACTAGTGTTTTAAAATATTTATTTGCACATGTTCATTAGAACTCTTGAATTTTTGATGTAAGTTTCTAAGTCATAGGTAAAAGCAAAATATATATTTAATAAGTGAAAAGTATTATTTTATTACTAAAATTTATTTCCAAAGCAAATTTATTTTGTAGGTACTTGGGAATTTTTCTTTGCCTTAAAACACACAAACAAAATAAATCTGTCTTGAGATCTAGTTACCTAAAAACCCTCATGTTACCTTGTTATGTGGGGTGTTTGAAATTCTTTGGTAATGTTTATTTTTCACTTTTGTTTGAATTAAACCAAAGTAGGTAGAGGCCATAGTGTTTTGTGAATTGATGTATGGTTTCCTGTTGACTCATCAAAGCAACCTGTATGTGCTTAATAATTCAGTGTTTTATTAGTAAAAATTGTCAGCATTTTGTCTCACTTTTTCTCATTATGTTTGAACGTAGTCTTCTCTCTTTTCCACTCCCAGCCATCACGGTTTCACAGAGTGAGATACTTTTAGAAACTAAAGATGCGTGAGTTCTATGTAAGATGAATGTGTTAGTAGCCTCCATCTGCTGATCAAGTAGGCATTGGAACTGGTACCAGAAAGTGAACTAGATTGTAGCTATAAAAGCATTTTATCAATATAAGTCAAGAAGGAAGAAGAAAACTGTGAAATTCTGATATTTTTAATATAAAACTGTGTTCCAAGTCAGTATTCGTTTGCTGATTTTGTGTTAGTGTCATCATCTGTGATTTGTAAGCTAATGCTGATATGAGATCAGATTTTCATCATGAAGATAACAATCCCTGCAGCCTATTTTTAACATTAAGACATTTTTGAAAATAGATACTATCTTAGAAGTTGTATTGTTAAGTGCAAATAAATCATCTCGACTTGGAAGTCAAAGTTTTATTTTTCGTTCCTTAGTATTACAGAATATCTTGCATTATTAGGAGCATATTTAAATTGCCAGATATTCTCAGAATTCTGTATTTTCATATTGCTCCCACTGGTTTGCCTACAACATGCACTTGAGTTTTTCTTCAAATAAATTACACTTGATGGAAGTACAGTCTTATTCTGGTTTATCTATACAAGGGGAAGTTGCACACATCTATTTTGCTGATCTTTAATTGCAGTGCATATGTACACATGAAATTTTATTTATTGGGAAGACTTTTTTTTAACAGACGTTTACAGGCAAACCTTTGAAGGCCCTTTATGCCACGTTCTTGGCTGAGCACTGGACATGAAGAGATAAATGGGAAGGTGCACTTCTCTTGAGGGAGGAGTGTCTTCTTGTTCATTTAAAAAAATTATTTAATAGTTCTGGGATTTCAACTAGCTGCTAATAGATTTAGTTTAAGGAGGAATCTTTAGCATTCACTGTAACACAGTGGACAAAAATTTGGTCTCTGGCAGTCAGGAGGTCTGTGTCCGAGGCTGCGCTTGG